GTTCCTTTTTTCGCGATTTTCTTCGTGCGCCGACGATAATGAATTTTCTTTTGCCAGGAGCTATATCAGCCGTCAGATATTCGAAGGGGTAGCCTAATCGCGTAAAAGGAGACTCTTGTCGAATAAACGATCGAGGAACATTGATTGAAAATATACGATTTAATTATATTAAAATTATATTAAAATTATACTAAATTTAATTTGAGAATAATTGCAACGAAACGTTAATAGAAATAATTATTTATTACTGAAATTTTTGGAACATGTTTTCTTCAAATATTTTGTTTTTTTTTTTTTATATCGTGTAATTATTACGCGTAATTAGAGCTTCCTAATATTTGTTCAAATTGTTCTTTTGTCTGTGTATTATTTGTTACCGATTCGATAAAATCTTTCCGCCTTTGATAAGCGTGCTTTGCGTAAATTAGATTTTAATTGTATCGATACATCCGTGTGCTTTATCAATGAAGATTGATACGTATGTGCATTAATCGTACGACTGTATTAACGGTGTAAAAGTCTATTAGATCGGGCGATAAATCATCATCGGCGCTGTAAATTATGATAGATTATTACGCGAAAACATCGAGATGATTATTTTGGGCGAAAATATTGGGATCGATAACGCAATAATTACCGCGTGCACATTGTTGCCAACAAATTATTGGTTATTACCGATATTTTAGTTTTACCACAGACAAGGTATACGAACAAACGAGTAGACTAGTAAAATGAGATGAACCCCATAAAAATGGTCCAATCTTCAAACGACCATAACTCCTATAATTTAATGAAACTTTTTTCTCAAGTAGAGCTCATTGGTACCTACAAAAAAGTATTAGACAAAATTTCCATAGTGCCTCGAAGAAAATTATTAAAAATAAAAAACGAATTTTTAAGCAAAATCGACAGGGGGTAGGTGCCTTAATTTTTCGGCAAAAAAAAATATTTCAAATCTTTCTGGAAAAATTATTTTCGGTTGCGGGGGTCAATTACAATCATTTTTAGTGAATACACATACCTCTGAATTCCTATTCACTTTCGAGAAAAAAATTCAAGAAGGTTTGAAATTTTTCGGTGAAAGAAAATTTTTTCAAATCGTTCTAAAAAAATTATTTTCGGTTGCGGGGGTCAATTGCAATCATTTTTGGTGAATAGACATACCCCCGAAATCCTACGCAGTTTCGAGAAAAAAATTCAGGAAGGTGGACAAATTTTCGGCAAAATTAAAAAATTTTAAATCGTTCTGGAAAAATTATTTTCGTTTGGGAAGGTCAATTGCAATCATTTTTGGTGAATACACATACCCCCGAAATCCTATTCATTTTCGAGAAAAAAATTCGAGAAGGTTTGAAATTTTTTGGTGAAAGAAAATTTTTTCAAATCCTTCTGGAAAAATTATTTTCGGTTGCAGGGTTCAATAACAATCATTTTTAGTGAATACACATACCTCCGAAATCCTATTCATTTTCGAGAAAAAAATTCGAGAAGGTTTGAAATTTTTCGGTGAAAGAAAATTTTTTCAAATCGTTCTAAAAAAATTATTTTCGGTTGGAGGGGTCAATTAAAATAATTTTTGGTCATTACACATACCCCCGAAATCCAGCGCATTTTCGAGAAAAAAAATTCGAGTGTCTAAATTTTTTGACGAAAATAAAAAATTTCAAATCGTTCTGAAAAAATTATTTCCAGTTGCAAGGGTCCGTGGTTTTGGTTTTTAGTTTTCGTTTATTAGTTTTGTTAATTGTGTGAAAAGCAACATCCTCGAATTATTTACCTTTCGTAATTATTGAAAATATCTATGAAAACAGAAAACAGTTGCAAAGGGTTAATAATTGCATTTTGTTTGTTTATAAATATATTGTTTATAAACGTGTGTGTTCGATTAATTATCAATTGGTAGGATGGTGCAATCGACCATCGATCGATATCGATCATCTAAATCTCGATCTGACGATTTTCGAATGGATGGGAAATATTTGAAAACGATACAATTAACATTTATAACATTTTATAAGATAAATATATTACAGCTTTACATTGAGAGAAACCATCTATAATACTGACGATTCAGTTCACAATATGATTACAGCATTAATGATCATGTTCAGCTACATGCATTTCATTAATATTGCTTTACTGTTGCTTAAAGTTACACGTGGCAATAATTAACACTTTGATGGCCACACATTTCATACAAAGATTATTATCATCAGCTGTCCCGTATTTTACGAAAGTTTCAACACGATCGAAGCATTCGAACTGTACTTCGACATGAAATTCTTAAATTCAACATTCTCTAATTATCGAAATACTTATTATAATTATAATAAACGTGCAGAACGTCAACTTGAATGATTCAAAAAACTTTCATTACAAACTATATCTGAATTATAAATTTAGCTGAATTTAAAATCGTGGTTAACTAAGAATATGGTGTAATATTTTTTTGAGAAACTATAATAAATATAATGGAATCTTAATCAATTTATATCGAGGCAGAGTCATTAAACTGATAAAACGATATCGCGACAGAAACAACGAAGTCACGTACGCGTGATATTGGCCGTCAAAATGTTAAGGTATACCTACATACAGAATTTATATCAAGATTCAATTGTATAATAATTACGAATGTAAATTTATCCCTTAATCTACGGTATTATCGTTAAAATCGTATTAAGTCGATGCACTTCTCATAAACTATCCTACGGACATAGGAAAATTATGTCTTCGTTTGGTCGTCGTGAAATATGAAAAATTTGTGCCGAAAATTTCTATATTTATAAATTAACGGCGGAGAGGAACTGCCGTGCACAGTGGATGGATCTTCTTAAACTCGAAGAAGAACAGCGTTACGATTGTACTTATCGGATTTCGTTGTATTTTGCTTGGGTCAAACATTCAGAAGATCATAAAATTAAAAAGAAAAAAAGGTATAAATATTTCAGAATTTAAATTTTTGTTAGAATAAAATCCGAGTAAAAAAAAAAAATTCTCTGATTTTCAGAGTAAATGTCAAATGAGCGAAATTAGTTGGACGTTTCGTTTGGAATAATAATTTTTCCGACGGTGTTCAAAATACAAGGAAATTGAATACGTACAATTGCAACGGTTTCCTTAAAAATGATACAAAATTATCCTAGACAACAATATATTAAGTCGTAAAAATTGAGGTACGAGTTATGTATAAATAGGTTCGCTTATTAATTCTTATATGCTTTAATATCGTAGTTTTTATTTTATCATTCCTCAGGTAAAATTTTATAAACGTTCAATGTTGAGTCGAGTTCAAAAGGCAACGTTAAGATTCTAACAATTCGTCAGCACTATCGTTCAGTCTTAATTTTTCAGCAATTTTCGTTAATATTCCAACGTCAAGATTCTGTTTCAACATCGAACAATTTACTCTTCTTAGAAATCTTCGTTAGAAGGGAACGTATTACGAGGTCACTCTAGAGCAAAAGAAATTATATTACAGTGTTGCTAGAAACATATTAAATATGTACCATATTAATGAAAAGGTCTATCAGTGTCTATTTACACGTTGACGAAAGTGTCTTTCCATTTGCTTTCGATTAAAGTACTTCGAAAATTAAGATGCAAGTTTTCTGAATTGCTTTTTGATAATGTCAAGGAAACGTTATTTAGCATTTTGTACATCATAAAAAAAATAAAAATAAAAATAAAAATAAAAAATAAAAATAAAAAATTAAGATAGAAGCTTTCATTGCATCTTGACAAATTGTTGTAACAAACGTGACGATTTGGAACGCTACGTACAAATTGCTACGAGTCACTTGCATCTTCATCTTTAATTGGGCAAAGTACATTCTTGCAAATTACATCACAGTATACTGTACAAAGAGTACATCCGTAAACATAGGTAAAATTCTATTCTCAGCGTAATATTCCCCGTTTGCTGTTTCCCTCAGGCATTACGTGCAGCATATTTCAAATTAATCTGCTTAAAAATTACCACTTACACATATTATGTTTTAATTTTCACTGCTAGATTAGGTAGTTAATATTAATAAAAAAGTTACGGATTAATTTTTTACACTTTTCTCTCAAATATTGTTTTCGTTATCCCTCGGGGAGGTTGGTCGAGATGGTCTGGACATTTATATCTTTGGAGTTTAGAATTTTGAAAATTTCATCCATAAAAATCTTCGAAGAAACGAAAGAACCGTGAAATGTATAAATAGTGTATTAATAATAATTGCTATGAAATAATTCGTTTAAACAGAGTATGTGTCGACAGAGCTTAATTCCCCAAAGGATCACTGCTTTTAATTCCATCGTACGACTGGACGTATTCGTATCTGATTATTAAGATTTCGTATTCCTCCCTTAATTCTGGATTACTATCTATTTATATCGAGAACGAAATTCTCTGTAAAGGATACGTATTGAAAAGTTTAATAAACAGAGAAGATCGGGGCAAGTCGATACACTTTTCAGTTTGAAATAATTTCAGATTTTATTCGAATTTTGATAAAAATCCACTACAAAATAAATTAACAGACTTCATGGATATTTTTCTATATTTAACTTGCCCCGATCTTCCCTGCTCACGATTGTTTAACGTTTTTCAATTTACTGTACAGTAATAATTTTAGGATTTTCCACTTACATAACTAAGAAATCAGAAAGATTATTATGTACAGAATTGTTAAACAGATAAGTATAGTACGAACTAAAAAATGTTGAATCTCCATTCAACGATAACAATTTTTCCTCTTTTATCGATTCCAAAAATTCTGATAGCTTCGATCGTATTTGAAGATAGTTTTATCACGAATAGGATATTTTTATTTCGAATTTCCAGGGTTAATGATCCAAGAAGAAAAACGTAAAATTGATCAAATTTACCATTTGTTGATAACAAAAGTCCAAATTGAATTTTGGCGAGCGCTTATTCGCTTCAAACGTAAATGTAGAAATGAATATTAGAGTTTGGATTCTCTGGCCCCCGATTAGACGTAACGTTTCCCTAGTTTCTAGCGTTTGAAATTATTTGAAAACAAGGGTCGACGTTAACTCGCGATCCGCAACACACAGAACACAACTCGAATCCTTGCCAATCCTCTGACAAATTGGTTGCAAGGCACGAAATACGAGAAGTTCGTATTTTGACAGTTAGGAGCTCGCGAACACGAACATTCCAGGTATCCCATTCATTCCTGAAGTAACTGGTATTGAGTGTTCACTTCAGTTGCACCAACACCATGAAGTAGGTGACCATGGCTCCCAACACCTGGAAAGTTTCATATTAAAATTATGTCCAGTTAGAATCGTGTTATTTGCGAAAGTTGGAAGTTATTTTATTTGATCGTCATTGTAAAATTTAATGGGTGTGTTAGAAATTATTTCTGAGCAACTATTTCAGATCTTCAGATATTTTGAAAATCCTCGCGTTACTGTGAAAATTTTAAAAAAATGTTTGAGATGCATGTTGTTATTCTGGGCAGCGAATGTTTAGGAACGAAGTTTATTTAGAATTTAATGATTTTGAATTTAAATCGTGTTCGAGTATAAGATCGAGGAATAATATTCATAGCGACGAAATAGTTTTACCGAAGCAAAAAGATCCAAGGACACGGTGAAAAACTTCGCTCCCGAAATCGACATCGCCTTCTGACACTGTTGACAGACAATTTGGACGAACGTTTTGGCCTCTTCTGACCCATCGTACCAATGGCAAGAATAGGCAGCCTCCATCACCGACGAGCTCTGTGTACAATACACGCGGAGACAAATTAGTATCTTTCGATATCCATAGAATGCTAACAAGGATCTTTTAGAGATCGATAGAGAAAGGAGAAAAATGCTCTTGAAATTAAAAGGAACTAATTAATGTGTGCTCTTCAGTTTAAATTATGATTCTAATAGTAAAATAGCATGCTTGAATTGATTTCAAAGCATATTCTCCTAATACAAGTATTGACTTAGGAAAACAAATTAGATTAATTACTTTAACACTTAATATATCATATGGAAAACAGTATGGGGGATTCTAGAGGCCAAAATAAGACGAAAATCAAGAATATTGATTTGTTGATAGAAGCTTCGTTAAAAAGTTATTAACAATTAAAATAAAAAATTTCAGTTCGTTCTGGAAAAATTATTTTCGGTTGTGGGGGGCAATTACAATTATTTTTGGTCATTATACATACCGTCGAAATCCTATCCACTTTCGAGAAAAAAATTCGAGAAGGTGTGTAATTTCTCGACAAAATTGAAAAATTTCAAATCATTCTGGAAAAATTATTTTCCGTTGCAAGGGTCAATTACAAACATATTTGGTGAATAGACATACCTTTGAATTCCTACTCAGTTTCAAGAAAAAAATTCGAGATGGTTTGAAATTTTTCGAAAAAATTAAGAAATTTCAAATCATTCTAAAAAAATTATTTTCGGTTACGGGGGTCAATTAGGAACATTTTTGGTGAATAGACATACCTTTGAATTCTTAATCAGTTTCAAGAAAAAAATTCGAGAAGGTTTGAAATTTTTCGACAAAATTAAGAAATTTCAAATCATCCTAAAAAAATTATTTTCAGTTGCGGGGGTCAATTACAATCATTTCTGGTGAATAGACATACCTTCGAATTCCTACGCAGTTTCGAGAAAAAAATTCAGGAAGGTGGACTTTTCGACAAAATTAAAAAATTGCAAATCATTATAAAAAAATTATTTTCGGCTAAGGCGGTGAATTACAATCATTTTTGGTCATTACACATACCCTCGAAATTCTGCACATTTACGAGAAAAAAATTCATTACTAGCGGAATTTTAAACGTTAATAATTTTTTAATGAAGCCTCCATCATCAAATTGGTATTCTTGATTTTCGTCTTATTTTAGCCTCTAGAATCCTCTATTAAAATTTTTCCCAGGAGTGGTTAACACCTTGTATATTTAGGGAGTGAAATCATCCCCCAAATTTGGGGATGAAAAACATATTTCTCTGGATATCCTGAAAATAATGTGACCTAGAAAAAATATCGTTTAAAGGATACTTGTCTATTTTCTACTAATGAATTTAGTAGGCTGAACACCCTGTATATTTATCACGTGCATCTTCGCTTAGATTTTTCCTATTCCTAAGACCTTTGAAACACAATATTGAAACGCTTGGAAAACTGACGTAATAAATAAAATAATTGATGTTATATTGAGTTTCGTGATTTTTGGGCAACGAACAATACATACCTCTTCAATTAGACGGTTTCCAAATATGCAGAGCATGAAAACTTGGCCAAGAGAGTACACCAAGTAACCAATTACCGATGCTGCGTAGGTGTCAACCGCGTTAACCTACGAGTTACAATTAAAAATATATTTCTCACTCTACAGAGGAAGAAGTTCATCTTCTTAAATTTATAATCTCAGAGATTTTTTGTTTTTTGCCTATAACGAAGAACAAACAATCCTCTTTGATCGAATCGCTAAGTAGTAAAATCTAGCATCGTTTTCTAAACGATCTTTCGTTTGCTTTCTTCCGTCGTGAGATTTAATTTCATTGAAATTATCTTACTATCTTACCTTGGTTGCCTGATAAGCCAGTAAAGTTAACGTAATAGTAGTGGCCAACATGTGTAGCAGCAAAGCAACACCGTAAGCATCTCCGATCGAAGTAACCAATCTAGAAACGATCAATGAAAAGCAGGAAGTAATAATACTGTTAACGATAGCTTCTATAATTTCGTCGAACTTCGACTGTAATTACGAAAACATTCGTAAAAATACAATAATGGTACCGTAGTTATTTCGATACAAAATAAAAATGTTGTCTTCCGTGAAGATAGATTTATAAACTATTAATGAAAGTAAATGAATTTCGAGATAAAGTGAAATTAATTTGCAACGATAGAAATCGAAAATGGTGGGCGTGGTTCATGCATGACACGTGTATTTCTTCTATTTATTTTACACGACCAGCTTTGATTTTTGTATCTTTGGTAAACTCTAAAAATTTCTTTACTTTTCGTGGCCAGTAACTCGTCACAAACTTTGGTACATTTTTTAAACAAATATTTCTTCTCTTCTTACATAGATGTTCTTAATCATCCTAAGTTTCTCAACACCAAATTTTCTGTCGATCCAATGTAACTGCATATTTCACTTTCTTACTGCCTTCGTCCTCTTTTAATATCGCTCCAGGTGTCGTCATCTTCACAGAAGCATTATCCTTCTAATATCTCAATTGCACACTTAGCCTCCCTGTTTCCGTAATATCGTGATATTTCCTCTCTTCTTATATCTCTATACTTCCTTAATACCTCTTTTAATACTTTCATCCGCCTTGATAGTTTCATTCTCTTTCGGTGTCTCTATCACGCTAGGGGCATCTGGCTTTCTTTCAGCGTTCCCTCTTTCCGGTATATCCATTTTTCCGATGTCGCTTTTTCTTTCCTCAACATCTCCTACAACCGCCAGCGAACGATACAAAATAAACGTGGAGTTTTTAAAGAATTAAGAAGAATTATCTTGGAAAAATTCAAATAAGATTAGGGGGGAGTTCCCCTAAAACCAAACAGTAGCGATATCTTATTATCATATTGATTTCTACCATTGTTAAATCATCAATAAAACAGTATAGAGGCCATATACATAGAATATTAAATTTTTTTTTAAAAAAAGCTTCAAGTGTCCTGTAATAGGGTGAAACCTACGTAAGATTCTTCGATTTTTAACATTGTTTGCTGTTCTATGTGTCGACAAGAGACTTTCGTGAAATGTTTTTCCACGGGAACCTCTCTCGATCAGGAATTCGCATGGAGGTCGAAGGGCAAACGTCGAACGTGCACCGCGCGTCGCGTCGTGCATCGTCAGCGACGCCAAAGAAACGTGTACACACACGTGTTGGACACGCATACCGGCGTACACGTGAAACGTAAATGTACAATCCCTGAATTGTCCAATAAACTGTTCAGTCCGTGCGGTATGTCCCCAGTTGCGGTCAATATCGCGCTCTCTTAGAATAAATACTTCACCACCGTGGGAATACGCGCACCTACTGTTTCTTCGCCGTCAAAGAACCTATAGGAAACGCCATACGGTTTTCTCTCTCTTCTTAGATACTTGCCTCGAGCGACACGGTTCGTATATTTCCTTCCCTTCGGAAGATTTCCGTCTTTCGATGCTACGCGCGCCTCGAAAACACCGATTTTGGCGCGAAAAAATTCAATTTCAAGCTTACGGGCGATCATCAACACTGTTAGCATTAATTATTAGAAATAAATTCTATATTTTAAATTCACCGCGTTCATTCAATAGTCCACGCGTCCTTTTTCTATTTTGTTCTTTTTTATGTACTGTATACTTCTCTGTATCAAAAGACACATGCGTTTTTATTAATAAACAGTGCAAGTTTACAGTCGATCATCAACACTGTTAGCATTAATTATTAGAAATAAATTCTATATTTTAAATTCACCGAGTTCATTCAATAGTCCACGCGTCCTTTTTCTATTTTGTTCTTTTTTATGTACTGTATACTTCTCTGTATGAAAAGACACGTGCGTTTTTATTAATAAACAGTGCAATATTTAACTAGAAGTGCTAGCTTCATAAGACTGTTTCTGATTCCGGCTGAATTTCTTGAAAATTATTCTAACAAAAATTTTGCTTAATAATTTTTGTGTTATTGAACGAAGATTGTATTATTTTGCACGAAGTTTGGAATAAGTGCAGAATATTCGCGGAGCAGAACGCACATTAAATTACGAAAAGGAAGAAATGTATTTATTGTAAAAGTTTCAGTGTCACATGAGATTTTTAATTATATAATGTAGGGAAATAATGAAGAAAATAGTAGAATATAAGAGTAATAAGAATTAGATTCTAAAATAGGAGTGTGTATCTTTTTGGGCAAGATTTATACGCTACAAAATGAAGTCATTGTAATTACTTCCTAGAAGAAGAGATATGAACTTAAAAAACAGATTTCTAAGAAGAATGGGATTGAAAATTAACCTATTTAAACAATTTCTAGGGATAAATAACGTTTCAAATAACGTTTTAAATAACCTATTTAAACAGTTTCTAGGGATAAATAACGCTTCAAATAACGTTTCAAATAACCTATTCAAACCATTTCTAGGGATAAATAACGTTTCAAATAACCTATTCAAACAATTTCTAGGGATAAATAACGTTTTAAATAACGTTTCAAATAACCTATTTAAACAATTTGTAGGGATAAATAACGTTTTAAATAACCCATTTAAACAATTTTCTAGGGACAACTAACGTTTCAAATAACCTATTTATACAATTTCTAGGGATAAATAACGTTTCAAATAACCTATTTAAACAATTTCTAGGGATAAATAACGTTTTAAATAACGTTTTACATAACCTATTTAAACAATTTCTAGGAATAAATAACGTTTTAAATAAGCTATTTGAACAATTTCTAGGGATAAATAACGTTTCAAATAACGTTTTAAATAACCTATTTAAACGATTTCTAGGGATAAATAACGTTTCAAATAACCTATTTAAACAATTTTTTAGGGATAAATAACGTTTCAAATAATCTATTTAACCAATTTTTAGGGACAAATAACGTTTCAAATAACCTATTTAAACAATTTCTAGGGATAAATAACATTTCAAATAACGTTTTAAATAACCTATTTAAACAATTTCTAGGGACAAATAACGTTTTAAATAACCCATTTAAACAATTTTCTAGGGACAAATAACGTTTCAAATAACGTTTTACATAACCTATTGAAACGATTTCTAGGGATAAATAACTTTTCAAATAACGTTTGAAATAACCCATTTAAACAATTTCTAGGGATAAATAACGTTTCAAATAACTTATTTAAACAATTTCTAGGGATAAATAAAGTAAAGTAAAGTGATCGGAGATGGTAAAAGATTTGGATTTATTTTGCGTCTAAATCATAGTTTTCGAATATTTTGCGACTTATTTCTGGTAACCAGATAAATATTGAAAATATAGAACGGAGATGGTTTCCAAGTCTAACCCAGACCTGAACACGTTTCATTAAATTTCGCCTTTCGACGTTCGCGTAAAATATTAATTAATATTTCGAGTCGACCGAAAGTAAGATTTCTAGAATTCAGCGCGGTTATATTGCGGCTCGTCGCAATCCCGAAGTTCGTCGCCATGACGAGCGCCTTGACTAACGGAATAACCCAGTTTCCTATTTCGATCCTCATCTAGAGTTCACTTCTACACAGAAACGTAATCTACGACGACAATGAGAGGACCTCGCGCCTTCGCGTACCTAACAATGAGAGACTTCCATTAGGATAATAATCCCTGCCAGGCGCACACGTGAATTCGGAGAACTTTGTTACGTCGTACACCTTCCGACGTTGTCGCTATATGTATACTTTCCAGAATTGCTCGTCAAAGCACCGTCGTACCTAGAGATTCGAATGTAATTCCCCGAACATATCCTGAGCTTCGAAATTAAGAAGACGAGATCGCAAACTCGTCGATTGAACAGCTTCGAAATCGTTAAAAATAAATACTCGAAGAGTAAAGGATCGATAGACGATGCATTCGATTTTCTCCGATCGATCACATTAAAAATAAGGTGTCGCGTGAAAATTAAACCGAGAGGTCTAGTCTGAGCTTCGAAATTAAGAAGACGAGATCGTATATTCGTCGATTGAACAGCTTCGAAATCGTTAAAAATAAATACTCGAAGAGTAAAGGATCGATAGACGATGCATTCGATTTTCTTCGATCGATCACATTAAAAATAAGGTGTCGCGTGAAAATTAAACCGAGAGAGGTCTAGTCTGAGCTTAAATAATAGAGAGACGCTTGAATACGTATGTAAATGATCGACAGAGTCACGTGACTCGAGCTAGCGATAAATATGGCTGCCACGACTGAAGGTTCTGCTCCTATTGGAAAACCCTACAGTAAACAAACACTCGGTTAGATATCGCGATTCTATTGCTTCGACATGGAACTTTAGCGGTTTAATGAGAATGCTCGAACAATCCTTGAAACTTGTTTCGTAGAGCTTCGGGAACAGGAAGTGTTCGAGCTTTAAAATTTCTATAAGCTGACGCGCGTAAAAGCACGATGAACATTGTTCATAATTCAATGTATGTTCCGCAACACGAATATTCAAATGCACGAAGGAGCCAGTGAACACTATTTTGACGTGTTTCATTTGTGCAAAAGGCACCGCCATTGATAGTCTTTTAAGATAGTCTTCACGAATATTCAAATGCAAGAAGGAGCCAATGAACACTATTTTGACGTGTTTCAATTGTGCAAAAGGCACCGTCATTGATAGTCTTTTAAGATAGTCTTCACGAATATTCAAATGCAAGAAGGAGCCAATGAACACTATTTTGACGTGTTTCAATTGTGCAAAAGGCACCGTCATTGATAGTCTTTTCGAGGATTTAAATGCATGTACCATGAATATTCAAACGTTCCTGGTATTTTAGCTGTGGCAGATAACATTCTAGTCTTTTAATAAATTATAAAACGTCTCCAGTCTGTGAATTTTAAATTGTTGCGGGGGTATGAAGCAATTTTATAGAATTTTCGTGCTAAGGTGCTCACCTGACGATGTGTTTGTGCCTCTCAACCCAGTACTTGATGGCGCTTCTAACCAGCATTTCCTGTTTCTTCGTCAGTCCGTTTGGCCCCACACCCCCGTTGAACGTCATTCCAGCTGTGGGTCGGAACGTGGCGGTGAAATCTTGCCTGTTGCTGTATATCCCACGAAGATCCATGTCCAACATGTTCTCTCCTCCGCCTTGGGGCGGCGTGAGAGGCGGTGGTGGCTCATGCTGGTCCTTGATATGCTCCCCACTGCCAGCCTAACGAACAGAAACATTGCCAATCAGACACACCGGTGAATAAATCCTGATATTCTCATCTATCGACGACGAACAGAATCCTTTACAATTCTCATTCGTTGTAGCTAGAGTAGAAACCTATTCGAGGGAACAAACCAATCGTGATTCATCTATAGTCGATGAACAGAATCGTTTGCAATTGTCGTTTGCTCCAGCTAGAGTGGAAACGTATTCAAATGAATAAATCGTGATATTCTCATCTATCGACGACGAACAGAATCCTTTACAATTCTCATTCGTTGTAGCTAGAGTAGAAACCTATTCGAGGGAACAAACCAATCGTGATTCATCTATAGTCGATGAACAGAATCGTTTGCAATTGTCATTTGCTCCAGCTAGAGTAGAAACGTATTCAAATGAATAAATCGTGATATTCTAATGTATCCACGACGAACAGAATCCTTTGCAATTGTCATTTGGTGCAGCTAGAGTAGAAACCTATTCGAGTGAGTAAACCAATCGTGATTCATTTATAGACGATGAATAGAATCGTTTGCAATTGATCTAAAGGCCTTCGACAATTGCGCGAAGCTGAAAGAAGAACTTTCAGCTACTCTACCGACTTTGAGGAACCCCACAATTATCGTGTACGTTTCCAAGTCGATGAGTAAAGAGGAGGTTTCTTCCAGTATCTGGGAGCAAAACCTCAGCGATATGACTCAGGCGGATGTGTCGTCCAACCTGAAGGTCCGGTAAATGAATAAATCGTGATATTCTCACTGCATTTGTTGCAACCAGAGTAAAAACCTATTCGAGTGAGCAAACCAATCGTGGTTCATCTATCAACAACGAACAGAATCGATCACAATTGTCATTTGTTGCAACTAGAGTAGAAACCTATTCGAGTGAGCAAACCAATCGTGATTCATTTATCAACAACGAACAGAATCGATCACAATTGTCATTTGTTGCAACTAGACCCCAAACTCTATGATGTAAGGATCTGTTTTGAGGTCTCGAACTTAACGATTTTATAGTTTTGGGGGTCGTTGACTCGCCTTGAACAGATCGCCGCTGTTTGGCACAACGGTGTCCAGGGTCGCGCTGAACTCCATCAGAGCCTTCATGATGTTCTTCAGATGCTGGATTTGCTCGCAGGCGAACAGCAGCCACGAGCAGAACAGCACGTCGAAGAGATTCGCGTCCGCCATGCAGAACAGCAGCCAGTAGAATTGGAATATAAGCACCAAGATGTGCGCCATTCCGTGGCTCGGGTCGAACGGGTACCAAGAGCGCACCAGTAACCTTGGTATCTGTTACAATGGAAATAAATCGCGTTGAGAATGTTCGATGTAGCTCAGAAGAACAGCTCAATCTGGATTTTAAGGGAGACCACTGTGATGGCTGAAAATAAAGTCAATCTTCAAGAATGTTTCTCTCATAAATGTTTCATGTCTTCGAGGGTGCATTTCTTGAGCTACTTATTCTAAAAATTTCGTATAAAAATGTTAATTAAACCAGCGCCAGAGGCCTCCAAAGATTTGTTATCAAACTATAAGGCAGTAACTTCGGTTGCAAGGTACAGATTCTTAAAAATAATTATTATAAAATGGTGGATTCAATTCCGTCACAGTGGTTTTCCCGATTAAATAAAAACTTCGAATCATTTAACACGTTGACTGCCAGACCAAACCCCTCAAATTGAAAGGAAAATTAAATTTTGTTTTTGGACAATTTGGAAACTAGCATACCAAGAATTAGTCATGGAATTTATTTATTTTCATGGTATTTATTTTCGTTAAAATTCAAGGGCCCCCACCTAGCTTTATTTTCTTCCACATCTGATCTTGAGAATTAATTTTTTTAACGCCTTGGTGAAAAGTCGTGTCATATGTGGATGACATGGCAGTCAATTTGTTAGATGTTCAAAGTGATTGAATAATGTTTCTGTTAACCTCGACGAAGCTGGTCTCGTTGGTGACGGGATCGGTGACCTTTTTCACGGAGTCACCGATGAACGTGAGGGTGGTCCAGGAGATCGAGGTGAGGATCGTGGCCCCCATCACGGCCAACAACAATATTCTCATCTTCTTCACGGCCAGCTGATGAAACCGGGCGTTGCTCTCGGCGAACAACGGGTGGCTGTTAGGGTTGTTCCATATACCGAATGTTCTGTAAAACAGTTTGCTCCTGACCGCGAAATAAATCAACTTCACCAGGCTGTGCGTGAAGAACAGCATCGTGATCGTGTTCGCCGTCAGCTCGTCCACGTCGTCGCTCTCCATCATCAGATTTATACCGCAGAATCCAAATTGCATGAGGACCATCACCAAGTGCATCTGAGAATCAGTTCTCGTTCTGAACCCTATCTTTGATACGAGATGTTTGGTCGAATCGAACGATCTTTCGAAACGCCATCGAAAGGTAACAGTTTAACAATAATTTGAAAATCGGTTGCTTTTAGATGTTATCTATATTTGTGAGATCTGGACAAATTATACTAGGTCGATCTAATTATTTTCGATACATTTTGAGAGATTTCACATAATCGAGCGTAACGTCGCTGTTCGAGCGTTCGATTCGCATTCAATCGATATTACTCACGATGGCGAAGATCTTATGCACGAACTTCGTGGAATTGTCATCGTAATAATTGAATAGAAAGTGCCCGGTGGCTTTCATCAGCCTTATATTGGGCATCAAGTCGGCGACCAGCCCCTGTTGCTTGAACTTCATCATCTGAGACAAACATTTACAACGACACTATACATTTAGCTCGAAACAAAGAAAACCTTCGAACGACATCGAGCCATTAACACGTTGCCCGCCGTGGGGGTCACCGGTGGCCGGCACTCGACTTGGTTACAGCGCCGCGGGGGTCACCGGTGACCGGCGACGCGACCAATAATAAAACTACTATAATAGTACACTAATAATAGTGTTAAATCAATACAAACCTTACGAAATCACGTCACCTTCGATTTCTTTTAACATAAAACACCATAATTATGATAATTTCTTTCCATTGAACAAAATTTTTAATCGTTAAGTTGGTCATTACTAGACTGCGGATCTTCATGAAAATTCATATTTTTATTAATAAAATTAATGAAATTGGAGCTTTGTAGAGGATTGTCTCAACCCCTAAATATAATAATTCGTACCTTACTTTAAATATTTCTTATATGCAAATGCATATTTTTATTAATAAAATTAATGAAATTGAAGCTTTGTAGAGGGTTGTCTCAACCCCTAGATATAATAATTCGTACCTTACTTTAAGTATTTCTTATATGCAAATGCATATTTTTATTAATAAAATTAATGAAATTGGAGCTTCGTAGACGATTGTCTCAACCCCTAGATATAATAATTCGTACTTTACTTTAAGTATTTCTTATATTCTTGCATATTAACTCTGTAGTTTCTTGAAAATGAAAATTTCCCATAAATGCATAAACATCCGCAGTCTGGTCATTGCACATAGGAAGTATAAGAATTTAATATCAAAGGATTGTAAAAACTGTGACGAGCAGGTAATTCTACAGGTCTTGTAAGCCTTCATTATCGATCCAAAGGTCATCATGTTCTAAATCATTAATTCGTTTTTCAATTTTGTTTAATTACATCCCCCCGGTGCATTTGCGTCACCGATACGATGAATAATCCTTGAATATACGTGTATTTTGCATTTAATTTGTGCACTGGTATAAGAACGATATCGTTAAATAATGTATATAAATATAATTGTCGAAAACATCGATTTCTCCGACTACGACTGAATTCGATAGAGCCGTAGACGCAGGTTGTGAATGGCTGCAAGTTGGAGTTCATGCCCTTGGGACATAGTTAATGAGTACCATACTCAATTCCTCGTTTGATATTGTATTTTTGCATTCGTTAACTTCTATCGAATAATTCCGTGCAATTACATAATCAGGTACATAACATATAGATAGTAATTGATGGGTGAAATAAAAAGTAAATCGACGAAACAAGAATTGCGATAAATCTGATCGAAGAGCCCACGACGTTGTTTATGTAAAATTTGTTTGTCGAGCGTATTGGAAAGGTTTAAACGTGACGCAGTGGAACTAATTAACCCGAAGAAATTGCTCGCGTTAAACGCAATTATAACTTCTCGGTTGACGTATCGTGGATAAGAAAATTATTGTTCACCGCGAGTTTAACGCGCTAGTAAAAAGTTGCGTTGTGTAAAAGGTGTTGTCGAACGGAAATCTTTTTCACGGAGAACTCTATTTTAAAAGGAATGAAAAATGTTGCTCCATTTTTTTAAAAATTATAATTTTTTGCGTTGCGTTCGACTGTTTAAAATTCGATTTATGAAATCGCGATAATCGTTCGAATTTAGTATCTTGGAATCGTAGGTTAAGTTTCCAGATGTAACTTTCATTTTTTAAACACTTTTAACACTTTTTCGTTAACTGCTATATGAGCTTTTCGTATCCAAGAATGTTCAAATTATTTACTTCACTTGGAGAATAGAGAATAAAGATTAGAATAGTTCAACGATTTGTTTATTTAACGTTATTTAAAAATATGCAAGTATTATTATTATCACTCATGCAAAAGTGGAGAAAATCAGTATAACCACGAGTCGTATAAATTACTTTGTGGTTGCACGCGAAACAATACTAATATTTTTACAATTACAATCGAAGAAATACTGGTAAATACTGTGTTCGTTTGCTTGAAAATGATTGCTAGCGCCATTGTTTTTTACCATAAAAGATGTTAAACATTTCACAAGAATTTCCCTTATTTTAATATCATCCTGGTTATTATTACCAATGCTATTAATATTATTGTAAATACTGTGATTTGTAATTTTATTATTGTCTGTTTTATTTTATATTAATTTAATTTTTTTTTCATCTTTAGCTATTATTATCATTATTCAATGGGGCGTGAAAATTTTTACAGTAAAAAAAAAATGCGACAAAGTTAAACATTTCACAAGCATTTCCCTTATTTTAATATCATCCTGGTTATTATTACCAATGCTATTAATATTATTGTAAATACTGTGATTTGTAATTTTAGCATTGTCTGTTTTATCCTATATTAATTTAATTTTTTCTTCATCTTTAGCTATTACTGCCATTTGGCGCGAAAATTTTTGCTGTAAAAAGAAAAGGGACGAAGTTAAACATTAAACAATGTATTTTTAATACGTATTTACAGATTCTTCCTTATATCTTTTAGATACATATTTCTAATTAACGCTAGATTTACGAGCATTGATCGCATTTATATTTATTGATACCTTCCATGTTGACGATTACCTTAAAATACGATTTTTCGACGCGTAACGAGAAAGGAAGTCGATGAAACGCGACCAACGAACGATAAATCGACTGTAAATTAAAATTAATCGTAATAGATCCTTGTATCCAAGGATACAATTTTAGGATGCGATTTTACCCCATTTCTGTCGCGAAAAGTGGGTTGAAAATTTTATTACGGACAGTTTTAACATTAAATTTACAGGCATTGATCGTACGAATATATTATTGATATATATTGATACCTTTCATGTTGACGATTACCTTAAAATACAATTTTCTTTTAATCAGAATATGTATTCAATCAAATTCAACAGAAGTTGTTAAAAAAATAATATTTATGCGTTCTGCAATTTTAAACATCGAATCTGACATCTAAATCTAGTGTTAATTAGTCTACAGGGGAAGATCGGTCGAAAATTTTATAAAATAAATATGCCTGTTTCTAACAATCGACCATTCGTCCATTCTTTGAATTTAAAAAATAGCTAGCCTTCTTTCAGTCGCCATAAAATAAGTATTTGCTCTCAAGGATCATTGTCACAGTCTAATCGGCGAAATAATCACCGAAAGTTTACTTTTCCCCTAAAATCTCTTTTTTCCTAAAACAATGACTCTGACAATGAGCGTCGTGGACGTCCAGATAGTATCTCGATGACCTTGAGGGATCTCTAAAATCGTTTCGAAAGAGGAGAGCCTGAGACCATCGTCACGAGAGTCCCCAGGTCGTTAAATTCCCTAGATTCGGTCTGGACCAGTCGCGAGGTCCAGGGATCCGTCCCAAGGGCAGCGATTCGATTCCTAATTCCCGTTTGAAAAGCACCAAATCCCCAGGAATGGATGCGATAGTAAGATAATCCAATGGCGTTTCTCACCTTGAGGCCGTCCGGGTGTTGTCAGCGATCAAATCCACGGTGTAAACACAAACAAAAAAATCACTACGCGAATACGGAACAGAGAGCCCGCGGTCCGTGCAGCAGGGGCACGCGCTATCGATGAAAAACTGACAGCCTTAGGCTCGACCCTCTATCGTCGGGACGAGGGTTCCACCTCGTCGACGTTTCTCCTGTTCTTTCTACCACCCCCTGGGTGCACGGGGAGCCACCACCTGTCGCCGTGGCGAAGCCCCTCCAGGCTGCACGGGGCACCAAACGTGGACCAATCGGCTCGGGGTACCGCGAGGCGCAGACGTTCGCGGACGATGCTGCCGGCTGCTCGTGGCCATGTTGTTTCTTGTATCGTCGACACGGGGCTTTGTAATCGTATCAATTATTTAGATTTCGACGACTGCACCCGTCGATCGCCTCCCAGGAGGGGCTGCTCGCCCAGCGAAACGGGGGGAAGGGGAAACTACCGTCGTTCCGATATGAAAAAACACTCGTCGCGCGGACGTTCCTAGGGGTTATCGGGCTTCTTCCGCCCTCGAGAACCTGAAAAATTGGATCCGTTCCAGTTCTTATTTACCAGGGAGAATTTCTGTAAACAGACTGCGGATGTTTATGCATTTCGTGGGAAATTTTATTGGTTTGAAAGATATCGGTTGAAAATCAATTTGAAAATCGGTAGCTTTGATATTGATCGATGGGCCGTGGATGTTTCGTGCGATTTTTATACGACTGGACGGCCTTAAGGTTGTTTATCTTTGAATGAAAAATCATTGGAATTAAATTTAGCAATTTTGACGAAAATGCTCGCTTTGAATTTCCATTGTTCGACCAACGCCAAAAAGAGTGTTTTCTGAGCGACGATTAAAGTACCAATTATTAGACAACAACGTGAGTTTGATGTTTCGAATACAAACAAATACGTAACGATTCAACTAAAATCATCTGAAACAATAGGTCCTGAAAAGCTACAGAATACACTTAATGTACAAAAATAAAAGAAATACTTAAAGTAGTATACGATCCTTTTAATTCTCTTTTTTTAATTTGCATAAAATATATCTGGGATGAAAGTATCCCCTCAAATGAAAATCGAGGATGAAGAGCAAATATTTTTTACAATATCTCACGAAACAATAAGCTGTTCAAGGACTATGATAAAAATTTAAGTGACTGATTTTTTCAGTAAAATTTAGTTTATTCACGCGAGCCATCAAGATTGATGGAATTTTTACGACAAATAGATCCTCTATAGCATAAGTCGTCACGTTATTAAAAAAACGTGAAATTGTTTGCAATTGTACTAAACTTTACATGGTATTCGATTCTACTGGTCATTGCGTCAAAGTACTGTTCGATGACGAATATTGAAACGATTTTAACTATAGCAGCCACCCGAGGCCTTGTTTATTTTATTGACCCGAAGAAAGCCACGACAGCGGTGACATTTCGACATTTTTAAGATAGCTAACTTTCGCTGTTTTTTAAAAGATTCCTTTCGATTCGCCGCGTTTGTCCTTCGCGAGCAGTGTTCTGTTTGCCCTCGACTCGCTTGAAATAATCCAGCGTACCGTGGTTAGACAAACACCATTAAAAATCAGTGGTACTTTGAGTGTTTGCGCTGATAGATCAGCTTTTCTTAAAAAATAACCTGAAGCTTGATGAAATGTTTGCCTAGTAAACTGTTCGTTTCCCTTAAAATTACGGTTCTTCTATAATTGGGGGAGAATATTGAGCGATTCAGCAGAAATCTAGTTTTCATCGAGTTTAGTATTTCGATAACGTTCGAATGATCTAGGCTAAGAGAGGATTTCTATTGTTATTTAAATATTCTAGGTATTATCATGTGTAGAGCGTCGATATTCTTGTCAGGCTAGCGTACATAGTTTGTTTTTACCTACGATGAAGAATATTACATGAGCAAATAACATTGTGTGTTTGTAGCTTATGTCAACGCGAAGACTATTGGCTGAAATAATTTGTCCACCTTCCTGAATTTTTTTCCTCGAAATTGAGCAGGATTTCGAGGGTATGTCTATTCACCGAAAATGTTTGTAATTGACTCCCACAAACGAAAATAATTTTTTAAGGATGATTTGCAATTTTTTGATTTTGTCGAAAAATTTGTCCACCTTCCTGAATTTTTTTCTCGAAAATGGATAGGATTTCAAGGGTATGTCTATTAACCAAAAATGATTGTAATCGACCTCCACAAACGAAAATAATTTTTTTAGTACGATTTGAAATTTTTCAATTTTGTCAAAAATTTGTCCACCTTCCTGAATTTTTTTCTCGAAACTGAGTAGGATTTCGAGGGTATGTCTATTCACAGAAAATGATTGTAATTAATCCACCCAAACGAAAATAATTTTTCCAAAACGATTTGAAATTTTTTTTCTGCGTCGAAAAATTTCACACATTCACGAATTTTTTTCTAGAAAGTGGGTAGGAATTCGGGGGTATGTGTAATGATAAAAAATGATTGTAATTGACCCCCGCAACCGAAAATAATTTTTTTAGAATGATTTGAAATTTTTTAATTTTGCCGAAAATTTGTCCACCTTCCTGAATTTTTTTCTCGAAACTGCGTAGGAATTCGATGGTATATGAAATGACAAAAAATGATTGTAATTGACCCCCAGAACCGAAAATAATTTTTCCAAAACGATTTGAAATTTTTTTTCCCCGTCGAAAAAATAGAAATATAATTTCTATATAATAATAAATAATATTTCGATGTTTATTTGATTTTTGTTTTAAATATCAAGACTTTTTCTATTGCTGTCGAATTAAATTACAATGTACAATATCGTAACGTGTCGTAGCTCGTGTCATAGCGTATCATTGTTCTACATTTCCACGAGTGTTTGATTGCGTTTTCGACGAGAAAGTTGAGAAGGAACTCAAAGAACAGTGTGTATGTAGGCTACATCGTAGATACAAACTTGACTATGCTTATTACAATCGAGTTTGTTCGAAACAACCCTGACACTATTGAAATGATCAAAGAGGAATCGCGGCGATGAAGCTATGATTAAATAAAACACTCTTTCGAAAAGGTACTCGTTACCCAAAAAGCACATATGAAATTCGAAGCCTCGAGCAACGAATATATTTTAACAAACTCGTTCGATCCTTTTCAAACATTTCTGCCCGACTCTGGCCATTGCGGTTCGATAAAAACAAAAGAAGGCTGCGTGCAACCGTGTTTTGTTGACCCGGAAACCATCATCTGCCTTTTGTCGATACGCGTTGCAGTTTAATACGAAATACGATTTAAAGCGTGGAGATTTAAGGAATATCGAGCAGCTCGGATACTCTGAATAGGACGCTGATTATTTTGAGCGGACCGGAAGTAGCCATCGTTGATATCTCGCTGAACGAAGAGTTTCGCGGGCGCGAAAAAATGTTGCATGGACACTCGTTGATAGTTTTGCTGGGATGGATGACGCTCATGTTGCCTTGTTTTGGATTTATTACGAAACGTTCAGGTACTATACTCGTTCAACAATTTTTTATAAAATTCTATGCCTCGAGATATTAATAAGTACGGGGCTCAAATAAATAGTAACTTTTCCCATCATTGTAATTTTAATTTTGTCTAAGTTTGAGAAAAATTACTTAATCCTGAATTTTTTCTGTGTTAATTAGAATTATTATAATTATTGTAATATTATAAAATAAATTTAAATGATTAGAAAATGGTGAATCTCGATCTTGAAAAGCAAAATATTATTCGATGTGAAATTATTAATCAAAAATATAATTTTTATATAAAAATCTTAAATTCATTGCACTAATCTGTCATATTAATGAATTCAAATATAAATTTATATTAATTAATAATTTAATAAAACTAAAAATATTTTAACGCGCCAACTTAAAATAATAACTTTAAAGCATCGCATTCTTGCGAAAAACGTATAATATCGAGCTTATAGTTGAAGCTTTTTCGTTCTATACTTTATGATACACAAATACGATTAAAAGGAACTGTTGGCAGAGAAAGAGCAATAGCTAGTACATGACGTAGAACTAAACAAAACTGAACCATAGATTAAAGAATGTTCCAAACTAAACTTCCATCCATACGTATGCTTGCAAAGTTCTTTCCCACAAAGCTATGCTTTGTATTACTTGACAGAGTTTAGAATGCTAAATTGTAATTGTAAATATGAAACTATAATTGCTAGCGTGCCTTTCGTTAGGATTTTATGAGTCTTGTAGTATCGAACTGGTAAATTATTGAATTAAAAGGGAACAGGATTTGCAGTTCGAATAGTTTTGTGACCTACGATATTAAATCTAATAAAGAATTTTTGACGATTTGAAATTATTTTTTTTCCGTCCAAAAATTTCACACCTCGAATTTTTTTCCAGAAAATGGATAGGATTTCGAGGGTATGTGTAATGACCAAAAGTGATTGTAATTGACCCCCGCAAACGAAAATAATTTTTTTAGAATGATTTGCAATTTTTTGATTCTGTCGAAAAATTTGTCTATCTTTCTGAATTTTTTTCTCGGAACTGAGTAGGATTTCGAGGGTATGTCTAATGACCAAAAATGATCGTAATTGGCCCCCACAATGGAATATAATTTTTTCAAAATGATTTGCAATTTTTTAATTTTGCCGAAAATTTGTCCACCTTCCTGAATTTTTTTCTCAAAAGTGCGTAGGATTTCGGGGGTATGTGTAATGACCAAAAATGATCGTAATTGACCCCCACAATGGAATATAATTTTTTCAAAATGATTTGCAATTTTTTAATTTTGCCGAAAATTTGTCCACCTTCCTGAATTTTTTTCTCAAAAGTGCGTAGGATTTCGAGGGTATGTGTAATGACCAAAAATGATTGTAATTGACCCCCGCAAACGAAAATAATTTTTCCAGAACGGTTTGAAATTTTTGAATTTAATTGTCAATAACTTTTTAACTCTAATGAAGATTAAGATTAAAAATGATTTTTACTCAGCGTTTGAACGTGTCAACTACGGGAGAAAATTGAAAATACTTTTTAAATTATTTGTTCCAGCCAACGTTTCTCCAGCTTGGAACATCGTGCCATCGTTGGAAGCTGATCAGAAGGCGATCGTCGATCGTTCGTCGAGCGAGAAATCGCAGGTAACAGGTATCGACAAGATTTTGCAAACTTCCGACACAAAGAAGACGACGAAGCCTGCGGACCAAACGATTCCTTGGGACGACACGCGCGAAAAGAAGTTCGATTTTATCTTGGAGAACGTCGATAACGAGACGCCACTCGCGAGGATCTTCAAGAACCCTGGCACCAATCCCATGGAAGAAAATATGATCACCGACGTCGTGCCTCTTAATCCACGGAACATCGTTCTGCTTCTAATTTTCGAGTCGGGACAAGACCAAGAGAACCTTTGGAAGGATTTCAAGGCGTCCCACTCGTTTCCTGTCGAAGGTCTCATTCAGGTATATTCGAAAAGCTTTGAATCAACGCGTCGTTCGATTCGTAGTACGCCATGATATTTAATAAAAAGAAGAAAAAAAGTTTTTTTGAAACGTAGAAAGTAATTTGAAAAAACTTACCTTTGTGGCTTGGATAATAATTACTTATTTCATACCAAAAGAAAAATTGCCTATTTTGTATAAGATGTTCTTGCAGTTCGTTTATGAAAGTTCGCGAAATTAGTTTCCACATTTTTTTTTATTATTAAGTATCATTTTTCAAAAAAGCTTATCGTTTCGAGTTTTATACAGGGTCTTCGGCTACCCCAGGAAAAAATTTTAATGGGAGATTCTAGAGGCTAAAATAAGACGAAAATCAAGAATATCAATTTCTTGACTGAGGCTTCCTTGAAAAGTTATTAACAATTAAATTCAAAACTTTCAAATCGTTCTGGAAAAATTATTTTCAGCTGTGGGGGTCAATTACAATCATTTTTGGTGAATAGACATACCTTCGAAATCCTACGCGGTTTCGAGAAAAAAATTCGGGAAAGGGTGAAATTATTCGACGAAAAAAAAAATTTGAAATCGTTTTGAAAAAATTATTTTCGTTTGCGGGGGTCAATTATAATCATTTTTGGTGAATAGACATACCCCCGAAATCCTACCCACTTTCTAGAAAAAAATTCGAGAAGGTGTGAATTTTTCGACGGGAAAAAAAATTTGAAATCATTTTGAAAAAATTATTTTCGGTTGTGGGGGTCAATTGCAATCATTTTTGGTCATTACACATACCTTTGAAATCCTATCCACTTTCGAGAAAAAAATTCGAGCAGGTACTGAAATTTTTAGACGAAATTAAAATTTTCAAATCATATTAAAAAAATTATACTTAGTTACAGTGGTCAATTACAATCATTTTTGGTCATTACACATACCCCCGAATTCCTACGCATTTTCGAGAAAAAAATTCAGAATGGGCGTAACTTTAAACGTTAATAACTTTTTAACGAAGCCTCCATCAACAAATTAATATTCTTGATTTTCGTCATATTTTGGCTTCTATTGAACAGGCCTGATTGAACACCTTGTATATTTAAATTTCACGCTCGAACGTATTTTCATAGTTTGACTTTGTTCCACGAATCGACAAGTTTACGAACATCGTCTAGCAAAATTGTTCTTTTATTCAACAACTGTATTTACTATGCTATAAGTGAAGATAAAGTTTAGTAATTAGACCAGGTGTAGCGATCGAGGATGCTCTACAAATTGATCCTAATTCTCTGTTGCAAATTGATTTTTTCTTAACTTGACGCTATCTCTGGTACAAGTACACCCCTTTTACGGAAATGTTCAATGATATCTGCCGCAGAGCTGCCATAATAGTGACACAGAAGCGACGCGGTTCTCCTTGGACAGCACGCTGGTTTCCGGAAACAAGGACAAGGAATGCAATTGCGAACACTTCCTACGCTCGAACATCGCTGCTCTGCTGTTTTGGGCTCGCGACATTAAAGGAATGACAACAGGTTAATCTATTAAAATTACTCAAAAAACACTTGATTCAAATATGTTGGAAGTTACACGAATCGACTTTGTAAAATAAGTACAAAAATGTCGTAAACATTACTTCTCAAACAGTAGTCTCGAATGAGTAAATATTTCACAGTGTTTAAAAACAAAAGCAAACTCTTTCAATTTCGATAATCTCGTGCACAAAATGGTCAAAGAGCAATAATTTTTTTCTTCTCTAAAAATTACATTTCTCATCAGATTCCAAGCTTTGGTATTCCTTTGAATACTCCTTACATCAAATATTTCGTGATTGTACTTCTCACGATTCATACGAGCACCATATATAGACTTTTCATACATATTTTAAAAAAATTTTTCCAGGTACATTGTCGAACGTGAATTTCACGATGCCATCCGTGTTCGGTTACGAGGAATCTGTGGACGTCACTAAAGAACTCGACGAGACCGACGAGAAGCAGAGGCATTTGATAGATTTCGGAAAACCGACGACGAAACACGATTCGTTGGCGCTTGCACAACAAAAACGATTCGACGGTGAGTTGATTTCTTCCTCGAAATTAACAATACATAACGATGAGACTGACAAGTGCAAGCTAACGAAGAATATCAGTAAATTTTTTGATAATTACGATATCAGATTTAAAAACCCTCTGTTTTCTGGTAACGTTACGTAAGTAAATTTCAGCCACGGCAAATAAAAATTCGTTAACGCGTCGACTGCTTCCCAAGCTCGCCACCAGAGGGCTCGCGCTCTCACAAGCGCTCTCACGACCCCTCGGTTGCTATACATACATTCCTCGAACGACTTCCCAATATACAGAACGCGATGCTGAACAGCTTGTCAGCATACTAACCAAACACCAACACTACACCACCAAAAACCCCTCGTTCATAAAGTTTCTTTGTTACAGTAATGGACGATCCCACGTGGAACGCGTTCGACGTCTTCTCCAGAATAAGAATCGCTCTGTTCCGTTCCATGCTCGAATCCCTCGGCGGCACTGCAGACGAGACGATTATTCCTTCCCGCAGATCTCATCCCTTGCCATCCAATTTGGGCGACGTAGTTACCGAACTAAAATCTCTTCCGAACGAGAAGGGTTTCATTCTGGTCGCCGCAGCGCCAGCGACTGAGTTGAACTCTGCTTTCGAGCTTCTACAACGCGAGGTAAATGATCCACTTTAGCTAGAAGAAGTAGAAATATTTATTTTTTATATTTTAATAAAAGACTAGAGCCATTTGCTTGCCTCGTGTTCTCCGGGAGCATCGACGCGAGCACTTCTTGGTTTTAGTTTTATTTTGCAAAAAATTAGTTGGTCCATTCAATGACAACACTGTTGGGATGACCAATTGGCCAAACATGGATATGTCATTGTCTGTTAGTCATGAGGCTCGTTAGTCACTAGGTCTAAGGGTCCTCCTTCCCTACTATTGCTAAGACATAGCTAAGACATAGTTAAGACTATTGCTAAGACCTGGGCCGCAGATGCTAGGAATATTATTATAAGGAATTAGAAATGTAACCTCAACAAACGTAATAAGTTGAGTGTATGATGAAAATGGTGACTGATACCGTAGATCACGCACACGTGACAGTGGCCAACGTCTGCTAGCAAAGTGTTAATAAAAGCTGAGAGCCATTTGCTTGCCTCGTGCTCTCCAGCAGTGTCGACGGCGAGAACTTGTTGGTTTTAGTTTTATTTTGCAAAAAATTACTTGGTCCCTTCAATGACAACACTTTGAATGTATTTCAACTACAGACAAGGTGTGAGCTGGTTAATTTGATTCCCTCGGGTGTAATGGCGTCGCGTCTCTAACGTTACGTTGTCCAACAGGCACTGTATGATCGTTTAGATGGTACGTGACCCTTATACTTGTTAATTTCTAACGAATTGTCATAACGAAAGCTGTCTCAAGACACTCTTCTGGTGGTGACTGGTACCTGCAAGCAAGATTCCAAACCGATACCACTGTTCGCCCAAGGACCAGCCGCGAAGTTACTGTACGAGGCAACGACGATCTGCGATCTTCCTACGATCATCAAGAACATCATGAGAGTTCGTCGCCTGGATGATGTTCAGCTTCCAATTCTTCATCTGAACGTCCACTCTCAAGATGGACCCGTTTTCAAGAGAGTGCCGCGAGTCGCGACGGAGCAATCGGTAAGAAAGAAACTGTGTTCATTTTGTACATATGCGGGCTCACAAAAGTGTTCCAACGATGACATATTCCTAATTCCTGATTAAAATTACACAAACCGGTGCAGTATAGTAAATACTTTGAAATTGCCATGTATATGGGGAATATGTGAGAATAACATGTAAAAATTGCATTGAAATTAAGTAACACATATCCAAGTTGAAAAGACTTTATTAGATTTAATATCGTAGGTCACAAAAGTATTCGATAACTGTATATTTAACGTTAGCCAATAGCAATATTGTTAGAATAAATTTCACCAGTCTTATGAAGCTACACAGATTTTTATTTATAATATTAAACTGTCTATTAATATAAACGCACGCTTCGACATTTTATACAGAGAACAACATATATATAGTACATAAAAAAAAGGGGGTAGAATAGAAAAAGAGGGCGCGAGGACTACGGTGACGCGGTGAATTTAAAAAATATAGAATTTATTTCTGATCTGACGTCACCTCCCATGCTTGCCGCTAGAGGGCTCGCGCTCTCGCAAGCGCTCGACCAATCCCTCGGTTGGCGAGCCTGTGAGGTGACGTCACAAAGAATTATGTCATCGTTCGAATACTTTAGCGAGCCTGTGTAATTCTATCAACGTTACCAATAATATTTTTTCCTAAATACTATATAGACAACTATTTTCTTACGAATTTTATTTAAAATTAGCATATCCTGAAAAAATTAACTCTTAGATCTTAACCTTCATACGGTTACTTCTAGTTCAATTTTGAGGGAGTTAATAAGTTTTATAACACGAGTTACTTCACGCTTTATCGAACCAACGGCAACAGTTTGTTCGCATAAAGCTCCATTTGCTCCATTTTCGAAGGCAATAATCTACGAATCTCCTCTTCTAAACGCACGAAGAAACCTGGTTAATTCGTACGGCGTGCTCGCGGATCATAATAGTAACACTTAATCATGAACGATAAAGACCGCAATAAAAAATGGACGTTAAAGTCCGACAATGTACGTTCGGTAACAGCTGCTAGCGAGTTTACTTGCATGACGACAGTTTAAAACTGTCCAAGAATACTTGACGTGAACCGCTGCGCGAGTATAAATAGCGTTCTTCGATAGTGACCTAGACATTGAACCTGAGAAAACGACGTTCGTCGATGATTGCATTAAAATTGTTATCGTTCGAGCGTGAAATTTTCATTTCGAGGCAACGCAATTTTTCGTACGTGAATCTTATCAATCTTAATTCTTTCTACATCTGTTTTTCACTTGATATTCAAATTGAAATCCCTTAATTAAGAACCCTTTCAACACTGAACCAAATTCAGAACAGCTTAACAAACTGTTCCGCCATTTTATGAAACAGTGACCAACAAGGAAGGGGAATATTAATACCAATTTTGTACAGACCCGATTCATTATAATTTACCGTTTATTAAACATTGTTTTTATTCATTAAACTCTTGTGCTCCGTCATAATATTTTATTTTGCAGATATATATTATTTTTAATTTTTTATATATTTAAACACACACGTTTTAAGTTCGATAATTCTTCTGAACCAAATCTAGAACAGCTTAACAAACTATTCCGCCATTTTGTGAAACAGTGACCAACAAGGAAGGGGAATATTGATACGAATTTTCTACAGACCCCATTCATTATAATTTACCGTGTATCAAACATCGTTTTTAATTCGTTAAACTCTTGTACTCCGTCACAATATTTTATTTTGCAGGTATACATTATTTTTAATTTTTTGTATATTCAAACACTCACGTTTTAAGTTCGATAATTCTTCTGAACCAAATCTAGAACAGCTTGACAAACTATTCCGCCATTTTATGAAACACTGACCAATAAGGAAGGGGAATATTGATACGAATTTTCTACAGACTCGATTCACTATAATTTACCGTATATCAAACATCGTTTTTATTCGTCACAATATTTTATTTTGCAGGTATTATTTTTAATTTTGTATACATTTAAACACACACGTTTTAAGTTCGATAATTCGTCTCTGTTTAATTTAAAATAGAAGTAACATGGATATTATCGGTTTTTCTAGTGCAATTCTTCATAACGTGGAAATAAATATAATACAAAGTGTTTTTAAATTATTATGATTCCAAATGCTTATTCTATATTGAATTTGAAAGGAATAAAGTTTTCTGTCGTGTAACCTCGAAGAATTTTAGAGCGAGCGCAGAGTTCGTACATTGCCATTGAAAATTTGTTGCCTATATAGCAGGGGAAAGACTGTAGTGGTAAATGATTAGAATAAATATTTCACGTTGCTTAATGGAGGGTCATAAGAAACGATCGAGCACTCGAGCACTGGTCATTTGACTAAATTTCTCAATTTTTTCGTAATTCATTGCTTGGATCGTTTTCGTAATTACTGTATCCGCCATTTTTAATTTTTCTTTTGACACAAAATGTTTGTAAATTCGATCCACGCGATACGGATAAATTATTTTCTATATTTTCTATTAAGATCGACGTTTTTAAATACTCGAACTTTTCGACGTATCATTTTACCGTGGAAAAGTCAATTTTCTATCAAGATTTTACACGAAACTTAAATTTATAATTCCGTTTCGACATGAATGTAACAACCTGGTATTAACCGTGACCTTTGGGGATATAAGACAAATCAGTTGAAATTCTAACATGTTTCGTAAGTATGCAACGAATCGATATTTAACAGCGTGTACAGTTTGCAGTAATCCACGAACGACATCCGTTGTAATCCCTTGATCTTTTGCCAGATGTTTCGTAATACTTTTGTTAACTTAAATCATTCCCCGTTTCCGTCGCGAACGTGTGGAAACGATTGGATAAAAAGCCGCTCGGAGATTAAATCAATGATAATCCCTGACATTTGAATGCAATTAAATATGTAATGATGTATTAATGTTCAGGAGCCGGCGAGCGACAGCAAAGCAAACGCAACGGATTCTAAGGTAAGACATTGTTTTACGATCAAACAATAAATTGTCGAACGTTTTACTTTGGGAATTAACCATGTTGCGAAATTAAAATATTCACTTTCACCGCTGCGCCAAGCTCGGTGACTCACTAACATATATTTTTATTTTCGATCGCTATACACGACTATATAACATAATTGTTTGCACGAGACAGTAAGTTTTGTAATAACAAATAAATATTTAATACTTGGTCTCGATAAAGTTGAATTTATTTTCGATATCAAACTATAATATTGCTTGGAAGCATTTCGATATATAGAGTGTTTAACCAACCCGGGGAAAAATTTTAATGGGAGATTCTGGAGGCCAAAATAGGACAAAAATCAAGAATACCAATTTGTTGATGGAGGATTCGTTATAAAGTTATTAATGTTTAAAGTTTCAACTGTACTGAATTTTTTTCTCAAAAATGCGTAGGATTTTGTGGGTATGTGTAATGACCAAAAATGATTGTAATTGACCCCCGCAATCGAAAATAATTTTTTCAGAACGATTTGAAAATTTTTTTTCCGTCATAAATTTAACACCTTCTCGAATTTTTCTCTAGAAACTGGGAAGGATTTTGGGTGTATGTCTATTCACCAAAAATGATTATAATTGACCCCAGAACCTAGAAATAATTTTTTTACAACGATTCAAAATTTTTTTTTCACTGAGAGCCAACCCCCTGTTGATTTTTCTTAAAATTTCGTTTGTCATTTTTAATAAATTTGTTTGACGCTCTACAGAAAAGTTGTCTAATACTATTTTGTAGGTACCCGAGAGCATTACTTCAGAAAAAAGTTTCATTGAAATATATTCACTATCGTAGAAGTTATGGCTCTTTGATAATTGGACCATTTTTAGGGAGTTTTTCTCACTTTACGGTGTCAAGGAACAACTTTTTCAATATTGTTAGAATTTCTACATATTCTCTGTTAAAATACGCGTTGTTTCCATTTTGAAAAATTAAAATCGTCCAATCCGTTCAGGAGTTATGACATTTTAAAGAATCGCATCAAATTTCAGGGAACCATTTCTGGCCCCACATTAGATTTTCGGTAAAGAATTTTTTTTCTCGAAAGTGAGTAGGATTTCGGGGGTTTGTCTATTCACGAAAAATGCTTGTAATTGACCCCTGTAGCTAAATATAATTTTTTTAGTATGATTTGAAAATTTTAATTTCGTCTGAAAATTTCAGTACCTACTCGAATTTTTTTCTCGGAAGTGGGTAGGAATTCGGTGGTATGTCTATTCACCAAAAATGATTATAATTGACCCCCGCAATCGAAAATAATTTTTCCAGAACGATTTGAAATTTTTTTTTTCGTCGAATTTAAGCACCTAATTAGGTTTTCGGTAAGGAATTTTTTTCTCGAAAGTGCGTAGGATTTCGGGGGTATATGTAATGACCAAAGATGATTGTTATTGACCCCCGCAGCTGAAAATAATTTTTCCAGAACGATTTGAAACTTTTCAATTTAATTGTTAATAACTTTTTAACGAAGCCTCCATCAACAAATTGGTATTCTTGATTTTCGTCTTATTTTGGCCTCTAGAATCTCCCATTAATAATCTTTGTTGTTTCTCGTGTCGAGCTTGATATTAAAATTATTGGTATCATCAAGAGAATGTTTAATAATTTAGATCACCTTGGTATTTAACAAAATACAATAAAATTAAACAAAAAAGTCACGTGAAATTATGAATTAGATGAAATTGCGTTGATCAACTAGGCCAAATTTATTTAACCTCTTCAAGGACGATTTTTTTTTCTTTTTTTGGGTCTATTTATTATTGACACTAACTATAATTATAAAAAAAAAAAACTAAACGTCCACGTATGTGGCCAAGGGCGTGAAGAGGTTAATCTGATTCTCTTTTTACATAGACGGAGGAACCCAAGAAAGTCGAAGATTCGAGTGTCAAGGTAGATGTAACAATTGATTCCCAATTTACCATAATTTTTCAATAAGTAACACGAAAAATTAATTACAGTACTAGAGAAAAGATGAAATCTTTTTAAACTAATATAACACTCTTAAATAGCTTATAATCGAAATTAAAGTGACCTCGATGAAATTTTTATTACGAAAGTATCGATCTATATTTGATAATCAATATTTCAGTGAAAATTTCGAAAACAAAATAAGTTCCCCATCGATACGCGTAATTTTATTCTCATATAATTGTTTGCAGAGGGAAACTAAGCAGGACAAAATGGAGAACAAAACATCAGAGGCCACAGGGAAGACGTCAACGTCACAATCGAACAGATTTCTCACGATTTTTGGCACAATCGCGTCGATAGTGGTCGCGTTCTCTCTCACCGGTTAAAGACACCTTTATATCTCAATCGATTTTCACAATCAGTGATCATCCTCGGTCTTCTTCACGTGAAATCTTCGTTCGATCGAAAATACATTTAAAACCGTAACTTTACAAATTAAAAATTTCTGTTTCGAGACTCCCGTCAGCTGTTCAATCAATGTAACATTTCTTCATCGAAAATTTCACGTTTCAACTGTTCCTGTTCGTCTTCAGACTTTTGAATCGTGGTCACGAAGATTTTACAGTAAATCGATTAATAAACAGTCATTTTATTTGTTGACTTAAATTTCTGAGTACATACCACTGATTATACGAAAAATAATAATTGGTACGGCGGAATGAATGAAAATAAAGTTTATCGTTCGTATATAAAAGTTCTCTATACCGATTATCACGAAATTTGGTATTTCATTTTCGATGGTGATTTTATCAAATTAAATTAAAATACAGATTTCTTATCAGAGAATCATTTCCGCGTTATTAACGCGTAAACGTCAGCCGATTTTAACGCGGATTAAAAGAAATTTCAAGCAATTACAAAATCGCCTCTCCGCGGCAACGTGTAATTTTTTACGCACTCGCGAATTGCTTTCGTCATATAGACTCCGGCTATTGCAATCGTTTATTACCACTCCGACAAAATCGTTAAAGATAATCCAACAGGTTCGTTATATAAATTTTATTCGATCAAAAAAAAAAAGAAAACAAAAATTTTCCAAAACCGTACAACGACAACAACAACCGAGTGGACAAATTTCACCGACGTCGAGAGATACTATAATGATCGAACGATCGCCACGTTCGATTTAAAATACCTTCGTCGTAGTAAACGAAAGCGTCCAGTGAAGAAATCTGATAGAATCGTGCACAAATATACGATTTTTGGATTGGAGCAACTGTTTTCTAATTGACCTAGTAAATGCATGTCCGTGGCACAAGAGTATCGTGGATTTCGAAAGGAAATCGTTTTGATGATTATCGGGGGGGAAAAAAGATGCACTTCACGCAACTAGGTTACTTCCTGCTTCATGAATTATATAATCCTTGGATTTTAAGAGTTTCTAAAATTCGTCGGTTGCCATTGCTTTCGTTGGTTTCCATTTACGAATTTTTTTTTTTAATTTGAAAAAAAGTTGAATCTTTTTCGAGTTATTAACGTATTATCTTTTCTTGCAATACTTATTTACCGGTGCAAGTTAAGTGATCGCATCATTTTCTACGCGATCGCTAACATTTTGAACGACGGCGCAAAAAGTGGTATTTGCGTAGTCATTAGAAGTAACTATCACTGGAAATTAAATTGCCACTTGCGGGCAAACGCATCATATTACATTATAGGACTCCCATTTATCGAACATGTTACCGAGCTGTTGTTCGGTGCACGAGCCAATAAACAACAGGGATCAATAAACAATCGGTGGACTCCTATTACTCGAGCTATCCAATTCTATTTTGTTCGAGTTCAAAATACGGTCGATACCTGGTACAATTTCGTGAAATATGCAACTCGATTGATTTGATTAATTTTTATTATTTTAGAAAGATTCATTTCTAAACGATTATTTTTAAATGAAGTTGGATAAGTCGAATTTACATATTACAAAAAAAGTAAAACGTTGTAGAAAGTTGACGAAAGAAGAGTTCAAAGTAGAAGATAAACCACAGCCATTTGCAACAGCTTATTAGTTTATTATTCCATTTCATGTGGAATTCTCTTCTAAAATGTTTCGGGAGCCATTTGGAAAATAGTTTTTTTACAAAACGTGATCTGTCTGGTGAAAACTTTGAATAAGTTGGAAATGATATGGACAAAAGTTTGCGTTGCGTGCAATATTCGCCATGTTTATTATTGTTGGAGTTTCTTTAAGCATTCATTAATCCCTTAACGCTTACATTTTTCAGGTGGATCAACAATGATTAGCTTTCTTTATTAGACTTGTTTCTAAGCTGCATAAAAATGCGATTTTTGTTAATTAGAATGTTCTATCTTACGTATAGTTTCAAGGAAAACAAATATTGTCATCCCTTAAATCGATCCATTAACACGTCCACTGCCAGACCAAAATCGTATAATATTCTGGAAAAGTAAAATTTTGATTTCAGACCATTCTAAACTACGTAACCTAATATTTGTGTCAGTACTTATTTTTGTAACCTTGTTAAAATTCATAAATTTTATCCAAATTTATTTTTTTCAGCGTCTTAAATTGAGAATTAATTTTTAAAAATTTTTGTTAAACACTACTAGAAAAAAGTGTTCAAAGTGTTAAACAAATATCATTTTTCAAGGCAGTCAGACTCGACCATGAGCGTTAAGGGGTTAAAAAATTATTTACCAGTTTCGAGAAGACATTTTACTATCAAAATTCTACGTCATAAATAATGTCGATACGATCTATCGACGAGACCACGCATGAAACATGGTAGAGAGAACAAGAGAGGAATAATAATTAAATAAAAAAATCGAAGATCGTATTTGCCAAATTTAATTAAAAAAAAAAGTAAATCACGCGATTAAAAATCATTAGGAAACGTGTGGATTCCGCTCCGTTGCACGATCTCCGATGTCACCTCCTCGCGGGGATTTTCTGCACGTTTCTCGCGCGTAGATCACGCTAACTAGAAATCCCCGACAGTCGACAATTTCGACTTTGCGTCGCCCGCGAGCAGACTCGAATCTCTCAGGAAGTCGTTCGACCGATTCACGAAGCGAACAGTTGGAATGAAGCTTAAAAAAATGAGACGCAAGACCCAAAAGATTTTAAATTTGTACGCACCGGTGACACGCGAGATCTTGCAACGATTAATAATAATTAAACCGCGGATGTTTATGCATTTATGGGGAATTTTAATTCTCAAGAAACTACAGAATGCACTTAATATGCAGAAATATAAGAAATACTTAAAGTAAGATACGAATTATTATATTTGAGGGTTGAGACAATCATCTACAAAGCTCCCATTTTATTCTATTAATCATTTAAATCTATTAATAAAAATATGAATTTGCATAAAGATCCGCAGTCTAATAATAATAGAATAATTATTTTACAACGATCATGAGAAACAAAGGTTGAAAATGTCGGTTACGTGTCCTGTTTTAAGGGGGGAAACTTCTTTTTTTTGTATCTCCTTTCAATATTTTGGGTTTAACACTAGATTTACGGAAGTCGTCAATTTTAGGGATGTTTGGTTCCATATTTAAAATTGCAGAACGCGTAAATATTATTTTTTAACAACTTGTGTTGAATTTGATTGATGCAATGGCATGAATACATATTCTAATTTGTTAGAGAATCGATGATGGCCGTTATCGATCCAAACATATTGTGTTGTTTATCTTTTGTTGTTCAGTCCAAATATGTCTTCCTGAGAGTACGCATCGCCTTTTGCACACGTGTTTAATTTACTTTTAAATATACGTTTATATTGAACATTTATATCGAGTGTGTCAGATTATTACAAAACCCCAACAGGTTATGGGCCCAGCATAATTAAAAGAAAAATCGTATTTTAAGGTAATCGTCAACATGAAAGGTATCAATAACGATCAATGCCCGTAAATCTAGTGTTAAGAATAACCCCCTAAAATATTACCCCCTCACACTGGTTCCTATTATGGCCAGAATAATGAACATATTTATACAAAATTTTTCCAAGAAATAATTCAAGATACTTTCGAAAATATTAAAAATTCACAGCAAAAATTCTGGAATATCGACCCTATTTTCAGCCATTGCAGTGGTTTCCGCCCCTAAATCATTACAAACTCGCAACATAACTCGATTTAGAATTAATTAAGATTTATTTATGAACCAATATCTGATCAATATGCACGATAACCGTTGCATAACTGAAATAATATCGATCCCAGGGGACCAATAATGGAGATCGAGACAGAATCGTTTGGAAATTAATTCCCCGTTCTTGCGACAGTTTCAATTTCGAAATTTCATTCAAAGTTCATGTTTAACACATTGACTGCCACGTCATCCATATGTGGGTGACAGGATTGAATTAGAACGATTCTTAGGATGAAATGTTAAAGTTGAAATTTGAACAGAAAGCATGAATTTTAGTGGGGTTTGTAAAAATAAATGGTAAAACAAATTTTAAGTTAACCAACCGAAACTACCGTTCCAATACCGTATCAAGACCTCATAAACCATATGAAAAAAACTACAAAAGAAGAATGGAACAGAATGTGGACCACAACAAAAAGAACAAAAATACATGATATAATACAAAACTTCTACCAACCAATTCCTACCTGCAATTTAAATAGGAAAGAAAAGTCCATATTGTCTCGACTAAGGTCAGGTCACACAAAGATAACGCACGAACATCTAATAAGAAAAACCGATCAATCGTACTGCAGCCACTGTCCCACGGAAACCCTCACAGTAGACCACATCCTATACCAGTGCAGGAGAACCGAACCCCAAAGACAGAAATATGGGATAAAACCGGACACAGCCCTTACAGCTCAGACGCGGCGTAAAAAACACAAAGAAGAAGAAGAAGAAGAAGAAATTTTAAGTTAACTTATAATTGTCTAAAATCAAAATTTTGGCCCTCTGAGAATTGTATAGTTTTGGTCTGGCAGTCAATGTGTTAATTTGTGTCGATGAGCTGTTCGACGGAGAAAAACAATTAATTCTCCGGATGAAATGTTAAAGTTGGAATTTGAACAGAAAGCATGAATTTCAGTGAGGTAAAACAAATTTTAAGTTATGTAGCTTATAATTGTCTAAAATCAGAGTCTTGGTCCCGCTAAGAATTGTATTGTAGAATTGTAATTGCCAGTCAATGTGTTAATTTGTGTCGGTGAGCTGTCCGATGGGGGAAAGGGAGTCGAAAAAATACGCGTCCACCGCGTACGGGGTCCGTGCGTCGATTGCGTCCAGGTGTTCTCCTCGTTACCTGTGACTCGCCGAGAGAAAACCGAGAGTGGGGCATCCCACGATATAAAGGAGAACCGGTCCAAGCGGCGATCGTTCCCACTCCATCTACCGTTCTCCATCTCTTCGGTGCCGCCGCGCGAGTTTCTTGCATTTCTCTTTCCGCGACCGGTCGAACCTCGTCGTCGTCGATCGTTCTCTTCCCCGATTCTGTGCCGTCTTCAGGATCGACGTCGCCACCGATCAAGGTAAGACGATCACCAGCAGAAACACACTCGCCCGTAGAAAGGATACGACTCGAGCCGAACAAAATCGAAAGTAAACGGGACCCGACTTTCTACGTTGGTAACGATCGTTGAACTTTAACCCTTCAGGATTATTATTGGGGCCAACGCGAGTTAATTCCTGAAATATGAAGGCCAGCAATTGTATTAGAATATCTATACACACTGTCGTGCTAATTGTTAACCCCCCAAGTGGATCATCGGGGCCCTCCATAAGTCTAAACTGATATCGTATAGTATATTTCTGTGATAAATATTATTTACCCCGTTTGTTTGTTACTTTTAGAATGCTTTGAAGGAAAGTTCATTTTTGTTTATCAATTTGGTGATACACAATATCGAGTAAAATAATTCAGTCGAGAGAAATCGAGAGATCGAGAGTCCACTTGGGGGTTAAGCAAAGTTAGACTTCCATTTTCGAAGTAGAATTTTAGGTAATCTTGTATTGACACTAGAACTATCGACAATTATAGTGTGTTTATTTGTTAATTTGAAATAAGTGTTTGTTCGTTCTCTTATAGAAAATTACGGTAAATTTCCAAAAATTCAGTCGAGATCGAGAGTCCACTTGGGGGTTAAGCAAAGTTAGACTTCCATTTTCCCAAACGAAGTAGAATTTTGGGTAATCTGTATTGACACTAGAACTACTGACAGTTATAGTGTGTTTATTTGTTAATTTGAGATAAGTGTTTATTCGTTCTCTTATAGAAAATTACGGTTTTCCAAAAATTCAGTCGAATAAATTTTTTACTTTTATTTTTTTTTTAGACGAATAAATCTTATTAGAAATTACGAATGGGTCGTTTTGACTGTTTTGGTAGTTCTAGTGTTGATTTGAGTCACTTGCTAGTTTGTTGCCATTTTTTACAAATTTTATTCAAAATTACAAATGGGTTTTGACTGGTTTGGTAGTTCTCTAGTGTTAAAATATACAAAGTAATTATACGTGGAAACTATTCTTCTGGAAAAGTGTGTAGAAATGACCTGTTTATTCCTTCCACATACATATCATCGTAAAACTTGAATACTTTGGTAAAAATCGCTGAATTTTATGCAAAATTAGGTGAACTTTCTTCCCAAACGAATTAAAATATTAGACAATCTGGATTAAAATGTACAAAGTGATTGTAAAAATGTGGTACCAGCCAAAATGACACGTTTGTTCCTTATCTTACCGATTTTTCTACCGAACAGAGAATTTAAAGTTTTCTACCGAAGAGAATTTGCAATTTAGGAGGTTGAAAATAGATCGTTCGAATCCTTCCGGTGTTGATCGAGTTTGACCCCGATAACTTCGTCCGTTAACCCCCATAACGATCTATTGTGATACCAGTTTTCAGTTTCCACGAGCTAGTAAACAAGCACAGTGCTTTCTGTCGGGTTGTCGAAATTTATCTCCGTCAGGTTGTCACGAAGTTATCCCCCCAGTTTCCCCAAACCACTTTGCACCGTTTTCAACTATCTCTCTCTCTCTTTCTCTCGACGTTTTTTGCTCTCGTCCCCGATAAATAGAAAATGGAGCTAGCCAGTGTGCCCCACAAAAAGTTTCAATTCTCCTTAACGTCTCTACTGCAGATTTTAGCCCTCGATCGCGATCGATCGCCAGCCATTAAAGAAAATTTCTCTCAATTTCCTTCGTTTCGAAATTCGACGGTAGAAATCGTTTGGCGAGGATCAAGATGAAACTTCGAACGTTTAACGACACTTTAACGAGAATCGTTAAAACTTCCATACCCTGCCAAATGAAAAATTCACATCGATCTATATAGGGGGGGGAAAACCGTTATAAATTGTTAAATTTCCCGGCGATATTATTCACAGTTCTGGATTAAAAATTTCTTTATTTCAGCTTCGAAACACGAGCTTCAAATATGACGTTTCTCCTGAAAGATTAGTCGACCCCGTTTCTACTCTATGAATCACGTTTCTGTTATTCGTACAGTTATCGAATGGAATTTCTCGTGTGTTATTTTTGTATTCTATACTCTCTTTCGTCCTGACGGTGTCGTAAGCCCTTAAATTCCGGTCGGGTATAACCGTGAGGCTGATTACACCTTCCCGTCCGCAAGTCGCCTTTCCATAGCGTTGCCCAATTTTAGGTTTTACCAAGGACAGTCTTTGGTAATACTCGTGCTTTTTTTTCTTTTTTCTGGTACACGAGCCTCTCTTTCTCCGCGCGAGAGCACCGTTTCACGATCTTTTACTAGTATCGGTCAGGATGTTTGGTGACCCTGACTCGACGCAGGTTTCATCCCTCGAACGGTCTGTAAAGTGTTTTTAAATCGTAGAACGATTCAAAAGTTGGAGTATTTACGCGTTAGAACCGAAAAACAGATCCTTGGAAATAGGACTACATCGATCCTTCGTGGTCCTTGTTAGTTTCACATTTTATTTGATTCGAAACAACAAAGAACTATTTTAACACTAGATTTATGGACATTGATTGCACGTATATTTATTGATACCTTTCATGTTGACGATTACCTTAAAATACGATTTTTTCTTTTAATTAGAATATGTATTCTTGCCATTGCATCAATAAAATTCAACATAAGTTGTTAAAAAATATTATTTACACGTTCTGCAATTTTAAATATGGAATCTGACATCCGTCAAATTGACGACTTCTGTAAATCTAGTGTTAAACTACGAATTATTCTAAATACTTGGTGTTATTTTAAAAATAACGCGAGAAAAGTAACTTTATTTCGCGTGGGGTACCAAAAATGGGTTCTCGAGTCTATTTTTGAAAGATAAAAATCCTTGGAAATAGGACTACATCGATCCTTCGTGGTCCTTGAAATTTTCACATTTTATTTGATTCGAAATAGCAAAGAACTATTTTAAACAACGAATTACTCTAAATACTTGGTATTATTTTACAAATAACGCGAGAAAAGTAACTTCACTTCGAGTAGGTGACCAAAAATGGGTCCTCGAGTCTATTTTTGAAAGATAAAAGTATGTTTTCGTTTATGATCACAAAAAAGAGGAAAAACCCTTTTCAGATTGAGTAAAATCTATATAAATTGTACGTTGCATCAACGTCTGCCCTATAGAATAGAATTAACACTAGATTTACGGGTATTGATCGTACGTATGTATATTTATTGATACCTTTCACGTGGATAATTACCTTAAAATACGATTTTTCTTTTAATTAGAATATGTATTCTTGCCAGTGCGTCAAAAATGGGTTCTCGAGTCTATTTTTGAAAAATAAAAATATATTTGTTTTTTTTTATCACAAAAAGTGGAAAAATCCTTTTCACCCCCTTTCAAATCCTTTTAATTGAACGTTACATCAACGTCTGCCTCATAGAATGGAATTAATGATTCCATAGGATGGAACTTTTTTTTCCCCCCCTCCCCCCAATGATTGTTTCGAGTGAATTTTTTTGTGCGTGGAGACTGGCGGTTCGAGGCGAGTGGCGGAGACGCGACATCGTCGAACACCTTTTTCATGGAAGAAAAAGTGAAATACTGGTTCCTCTCGGCCAGCCATGACGAGTTAGGGAAAGTTTAGCGTTGAGCAAGCTGCTTCTGGTCAGCATTAATTTCTCACATAAGACCCGCGTATATCTCGTCTATTTGCGCAACCCGTTACAGTGCGCATTACGCGTTACACGTGCACCGCTGCAACAAGTACGCTGCAATCGATGGTGAACTGTAATTTTCACCTCATTCGGGTCACTCGTAGACCAATTTCGTATACGTTGTTTGGTCTAACCGCGAACGGAACGTTATCAACAGACCGCGGACGTTTGACGTATGCATACGTTTCTAGAATATAGATGAAAGTGTGGAACATGAATGGAAGTTTGTTTCATGCTTGGAGGAACTTCAGAATATATTTTTTATTTTGCATATGACATATGTGTTTATTAGATTTCTTTTCATAAAATTGATGCTTATACGAACGTCTATTTCAGGCTACTAATTCAACGATTTTATAGCGATTAATCAACGTTCAACGGTATTAATCAGTGATTCTGAAGTATTCTTGGCAGATACGTTCTATGGAAATGAATTTTACGAGGTCAGATTGTTAAAGGATCGAAAACAATTGAAACATGCTACTTTAGAAAATTCAAGTATGCCCCGATCGCATAAAAAATTTTTATCGGGGATTCTAGAGGTCAAAATAAGAAGAAAATCAAGAATAGCATTTTGTTTATGGAGGCTTCCTTGAATAGTTATTAACAATTAAATTCAAAAATTTCAAATCGTTCTGGAAAAAATATTTTCGTCTCCGGAGGTCAATTACAGTCATTTTTGGCTATTACATATACCCCCGAATTCCTCCCCGTTTTCGAGAAAAAAAATCGAGTAGGTGGTGAAATTTTTCGGCGAAAAAAAAAACTTTCAAATCGTTTTGGAAAAATTATTTTCGTTTGGGTGGATTAATTACAATCATTTTCTGTGAATATACATACCCTCGAAATCCTACTCAGTTTCGAGAAAAAAATTCAGGAAGGTGGACAAATTTTTGACAAAATTGAAAAATTTCAAATCGTTCTAAAAAAATTACTTTCGGTTGCGGGGGTCAATTACAGTCATTTTTGGCTATTACATATACCCCCGAAATCCTCTCCGTTTTCGAGAAAAAAAATCGAGTAGGTGGTGAAATTTTTCGGCGAAAAAAAATTTTTCAAATCGTTCTAAAAAAATTACTATCGGCTCCGGAGGTCAATTACAGTCATTTTTGGCTATTACATATACCCCCGAATTCCTCCCCGTTTTCGAGAAAAAAAATCGAGTAGGTGGTGAAATTTTTCGGCGAAAAAAAATTTTTCAAATCGTTCTAAAAAAATTACTTTCGGCTCCGGAGGTCAATTACAGTCATTTTTGGTCATTAGACATATACTTGAAATCCTATCCACTTTCGGGAAAAAAATTCGAGAAGGTATGACATTTTTCGACAAAATTACAAAATTTCTAATCATTCTAAAAAAATTGTAGTTAACTAAAGCGGCTAATTACAATCATTTTTGGCGAATAGACATATCCTCGAAATCCTGTCCAGTTTAGAGAAAAAAATTCGAGAAGGTGTGAAATTTTTCGACAAAATTGAAAAATTTCAAATCGTTTTGGAAAAATTATTTTCGGTTGTGGGGGCCAATTATAATCATTTTTGTTGAATACACATACCCTTGAAATCCTATTCTTTTTCGAGAAAAAAATTCGAGAATGCGCCTAAATTTTTTAGGCGAAAAAAAAAATTTCATTTGGCTAAACACCGTGTATAAATAATAAACGTCAGATAAACGTCATCGACTAACTCTTGACAATATTGAAAAAATACTAATATATAGTAATTTATATAAAATTATAATATAAAATAATATAAAATTATTTGAACATATTTTGAATATATTTTGAATATATTTTGCATATTTCTGTATATTTTTGCACATTATTGATACATATTTGACATATGTCATTTACATATTTTTAACATATTTTATCAAAATAAACATCCACAACCTAGTTGTCAAGGTTTCTAATCGATCATTACTTTATTTACTCAAAACATGAACTTTAGCGAAATTAAAAGAAAAAAAAGTATCTTTACCATCGAATTTTCATTAATTCTGAATAACACGTATCTTCCTCGAATGTTTCCCGGATTACTTGTCTTTATTAAACGCCTATGACGAAGCAGGAAACAATGTGTTCTTCGATTAATTGCGCAAGCCGTTGTTTAGAACGCAAGACCGCATCGGACAGCGTAATTAACATACTCGAGACTGTACCCTAATGTCCCGTCATGTCAAATTTTGCTTATTACCTGTCGCTGATTATCTTCCTTGCCGGGCATTGCTAAAATCCGGAGAAAAAATTGTTTGTTTCGTAAAGACAACGCAATTGCGCTTTAACGAGGGATCAAATAACGAGTAATCAAATATTTTGCTATTTATTATAACGTTGGACCAAAGACGCCTCGTATATGTCAAGTAAATTGTAATTAAGGTAACGATCGATGACCTCGATGCATATGATCCTTTCCATCCGGAAATACACTTCTCAATTTCGTTTTTAAAGAAATTCAGAGCGCAGGAATCGCGTAACAACTTGAATAAAATGCTTGAATAAATGATAATATATACCGAACGATAGGTCAAGAGATCACAGAGAGCGATGAGGTTTCTCTATTTTAATCTCTCGGTGGCTGTAATAAATTATTCGAGCTACGTGTAAGCATTATCATGCAAAAGGCGAGCTCCTTCTCTTTCAACTAAGGACGATTATTTCTTGGAAAATCACTACCGAAGCTACGGTATTTTTCAGCGACTCGTTTATTCAATTTTTATTCGTCTCTTATCGCCGGAATCTCACGTTCTTTGGTCGTTTCCAATAAACTGCTATCGACTTTGACCTCGTGCAATATAAGAAGAACGATGATCAATTAAGGATATTTAATAGAAACTAAAAGCTCAGTGGCAAGTTATGTAAGACCGTATAAATGAAATTATCATTTTTGGAGAAAGTTATGTCCAAGAGTCTGGCCACTTTCTATCAAATGAACCACGAATTACGAAAATTCTTTCGTAACAATAAAACATCGACACGACATTGTGTCAAGCTCTTGACGTGCAATCGTTTTTGGTGAATAGACATACCACTTTCGAGAAAAAAATTGATGAAGGTGTCTAAATTTTTCGGCGAAATTGAAAAATTTCATATCATTCTAAAAGAATTATTTTTGGATACAGGGGCTTATTACAATCATTTTTTGTGAATAGACATACCCTCGAAATCCTACTCAGTTTCGAGAAAAAAATTCGAGAAAGTGTGAAATTTTTCGACAGAAAAAGAAATGTCAAATCGTTTTGGAAAAATTATTTTCGGTTGCGGGGGTCAATTACAATCATTTTTGGTGAATAGACATACCCTCGAAATCCTACTCAGTTTCGAGAAAAAAATTCGAGAAGATGCTGAAATTTTTCCGCGAAAAAAAAAATTTCAAATCGTTCTGAAAAAATTATTTTCGATTGAGGGGGTCAATTACAATCATTTTTGGTCATTAGACATATCCTCGAAATCCTGCCTACTTTCGAGAAAAAAATTCGAGAATGTGTAGAAACTTTTTGGCGAAATTAAAAAATTTCAAATCTTTCCAGAAAAATTATTTTTAGTTGTTGGGGTCGATTACAATAATTTTTGGTGAATACACATACCCTTGAAATCCTACGCACTTTCGAGAAAAAAATTCTTTACCGAAAATACAATGTCTGACCACTTATGTGTGATTCCCCTGAAACTTACATATGTTTGAAACATCATAACTTCTGAACGGATTGGCGGATTTTAATGTTTCAAAAGCCAAACAACGCGTATTTTGATGAAGAATATGTAGAAATTCTAAAAATATTCGAAAAGTAGTTCCTTGGACCCGTAAAGTGAGAAAAACCCCTGAAAATCTTAATTTTGTTTATTTCGTGACTTACGTCACTTTCACAATAACCGTTTCAATACGCGACTATGCAACCTGAAAGTCACAAGCTATAAATCACGAAAAAGTTTCGTATTAAGTCTCTGCTTTCGAATTATTCCGTGCAAGTAAATTTAACGTACTTCAGCACCGAAACGCACGGCGCTAATTATATTAATTAATGTATTTACTCGCGCCGTTCTTTACCTCCCAGCTGGTTCTGAGTTAAATGACCAGTCGCTGCGGGATATTCAATTAAACGGCCGTGGCCGCTCCGCAATGTTAAACCACATTGTGCTTCGTATGCTTTTAACGGCTTGACGTTGCTGAGTGATTAGCTAATCGTCGCGATGGAACACCGTAGTGTAAATTTCGCGAACAGTTGATCGAGCATGGCGTTAATAATGTTAATATATTTGCATTATATCCTGCACAATGTATTTAACCAGGCGTATTTTGTACCGTAGGAAGTGTTAAAAACAAAGCGCCATTTGTGTTTCTGCGCCACCTAGAGTTACTCTGACTTACCTTTTTCTCGTAACCGTGTGTCTTTTGTTTGTAACAAAGCCTCGTGCTAATTAAATGTGTTTTGCTGAGAGGAACTGGAGTTTTGCTCATTTGCATCCCCAAAATTCCCACAGGCCATTGGCCTAGCACACTTTTCTACTGCGCTGTGGGAATTTTGGGGATGCAAGTGAGCAAAAGTGTTGGAAACAAAGCGCCATTTGTTTCTGCGCCACCTAGAGTTACTCTGACTTACCTTTTTTTTGTAACCGTGTGTCTTTTGTTTGTAATTAAGCCTCGTGCTAATTAAATGTGTTTTGCTGAGAGGAAGCAGAGTTTGGCTCATTTGTTGTGGGAATTTTGGGGATGCAAATGAGCAAAAGTGTTAGAAACAAAGCGCCATTTGTTTCTGCGCCACCTAGTGTTACTCTGACTTACCTTTTTCTCTTAACCGTGTGTCTTTTGTTTGTAACAAAGCCTCGTGCTAATTAAATGTGTTTTGCTGAGAGGAACTGGAGTTTTGCTCATTTGCATCCCCACAATTCCCACAGGCTATTGGCCTAGCACACTTTTCCACTGCGCTGTGGGAATTTTGGGGATGCAAGTGTGCAAAAGTGTTAGAAACTATTAGAGGTTACAAATGAACACATGTATAAAGTTTATTTGTACCACATTATAACAAAACTGATTAATAACAATATCATAGTTATGGAATATTACAAGTCGCCCCATGGCCAGGAAAAAACATAAGAGCGCTCACGAACGGGGAATCCCGATTCCCCCTCGCTACCCAACGGTTGCAGGCCCGGCAACCATGCCGACATTGGCAGCATTTCCAACAGAAACAAAGCGCCATTTGTGTTTCTGCGCTACCTAGAGTTACTCTGACTTACCTTTTTCTCGTAATCGTGTGTCGTTTGTCTGTAATTAAGCCTCGTGCTAATTAAATGTGGTTTGCTGAGAGGAAGCAGAGTTTGGCTCATTTGCTGTGGGAATTTTGGGGATGCAAATGGGCCAAACTCTGCTTCCTCTCAGCAAAAGACATTTAATTAGCACGAGGCTTAGTTACAAACAAAAGACACACGGTTACCAAAAAAAAAGGTAAGCCAGAGTAACCCTAGAGGGCGCAGAAGCAAATGGCGCTTTATTTCTAACAGAAAGATGAATTTGATAACTTTAACAAATAGAACGCTTCGATTCTTCGATATGTGTTTAAGGTACTAAGAATTTCTAAATTAATTTGCATTGATTTTTAGATGTTGCTGGTTCAACCGTCAGAGGAGATGTCGGAGAAGATCCGCGTGGAGCTGAACGAAAACGTGGCAACGCGCGACAGCGATCTCGAAATAATCAAGGAATGGCTCGCCAAACAACCCCACTTACCTAATACCTATGGTAATATCTTGATAAATATCTTCCAAATTCTACTTAAAAATTGTTCTCGATCACTGAGAATATTTCGACCGAGAAAAATGGGTTGGAACAGTTTTCAAAAGGACCAAACTGTTGACTTAAAAAATAGAAAGTAATTTAGGAACAGCAAAAGCTGAGTGATCGAGTTATTATAATTAGACGATCAAATAAAATTAGATATTTTATATTTTCCTTCTTTGTTTCATTTTATTGTTCCAAACCATTTACTGGAGGAATTGTTCTCTTCGATCATAGTGAATCTTGTAACATCTTTATCCGCCATATTGTATTCCACAATTTTTCTAGAAACAAAACATTTAAATGCTTTAATTAAGCTTCTATAGGGAAATTATATAGATTTTAGCTTTTCGTTGTACTTATTTTGTAGAAATATGCTATACTATACAGGGTGTCCCGTAAATAGAGTAAGAACCGGAATTGTGGGGTAGCTGAGACGATTCTGAACAACAATTTCCTTTGCAAAAATGCAATTCTCGTTTTCTTGGCACAAACTGCTACGTACGTGTAGTTTTTCTAATCTTTAACAGCAACTAATGCCCTTTTACATCCTGCTAACCGATGAAAACTTTTTACATCCCACGTTTGGTGAGATTAGCTTTAAAGAATGAATCGAATGAGATCGTACGATGAATCTCTACTTTTATTCGCGCGATTTACCACCGTTTGGTCCGTCTCAAGCGACCTTTCTCGCGTCGTTTTTGCTCCAGATGATGGCAGACTGATGACGTTCCTCCGAGGATGCAAGTTCTCCTTGGAAAAATGCAAAAAGAAGCTGGACATGTACTTCACGATGAGAGCGGCGGTTCCAGAGTTCTTCACCAACCGAGACGTCACTAGCCCAGAAATGAGAGAGATCACCAAACTTATGTAAGAAACCTTATCCACCATTTTCGAATCTAAAAGAATCGCTGCTGACCAAAAAGACTATCAATTTCTCAATAGCGCGCATACCATTTTCAAATTACGGGCTCAGATTGGGACAATGGAAAGCAATCAAAGCGTCTCAAAGCAATCAAAGTTTTTAGAATAACAGAGAAAAATTGTAGATCGTAGAAATCTATTAAAAATAGTAAACAATTATTACTAATGGTACAGAAGAACCGTAAATATGTCTTCGATAATCACAAAAATGAACTTTGCAATCCGTAGGGGAAACCAGGGTCAATAGTAATACTTTCATTTTGGAATGCAAAACTAATACAATAGCAAAAACCTGTAGGCAAATTCAAGTAGATACTGAAATTTTTAGGCGAAATTAAAAAGTTTCAGATCATTCTAAAAAAATTATTTTCGGCTCTGGGGGCCAATTATAATCATTTTTGGTGAATAGACATACCCCCGAAATTCTACTCAGTTTCGAGAAAAAAAATTCAGAAAGATGGAATTTTTTGACGAAATTAAAACATTTCTAATCATTCTAAAAAAATTATTTTCGTTTGCGGGGGTTAATTACAAGCATTTTTGGTGAATAGACATACTCCCGAAATCCTACCCAGTTTCGAGAAAAAAAATTCAGAAAGATGACCTTTTTTGACAAAAATTAAAAAATTTCAAATCATTCTAAAAAAATTATTTTCGGCTGTGGGGGATAATTACAATCATTTTTGGTGAACAGACATATCCTTGAAATCCTACCCATTATCTAGAAAAAAATTCGAGAATGTGTGAAATTTTTGACAAAATTAAAAAATTTCAAATCATTCTAAAAAAATTATTTCCGGCTCTGGGGGTCAATTATAAACATTTTCGGTGAATAGACATACTCCCGAAATCCTACTCAGTTTCGAGAAAAAAAATTCGGAAAGGTGGATCTTTTTGACAAAATTAAAAAATTTCGAATCGCTCTAAAAAAATTATTATAGGCTGCAGGGGTCAATTACAATCATTTTTGGTGAACAGACATATCCTTGAAATCCTACCCATTATCTAGAAAAAAATTCGAGAATGTATGAAATTTTTGTCAAAATTAAAAAATTTCAAATCGTTCTAGAAAAATTATTTTCGGCTGTGGGGGTCAATTACAAACATTTTCGGTGAATAGACATACCCTCAAAATCTTGCTCATTTTCGAGAAAAAAATTCAGTACGAACAGAATTTTAATCGTTAATAACTTGTTAATAACCTTGTAAACTCAGAAAAAATTACCCTAGAAAACAAAATTTTTCTGCAAAAGAAAGGTCTTCTCAAACCATTCAAATAGCACACAAAATATTTTCTGTACCCCCACAATTAAAGGAGATATTTATGTGGACCACCCGGTATATTAAAAAGAAAGTTTGCGTTTTCCCTCTACAATTTGCATATCTGAAAATAAATAGTCCACAAAATCAAGTATCTTTCTTGCGATTCCAAAGACAAACGTGTCCCCTTGTTTTCCTTGTCATTTTACACGACCAGTATTAACACTTTAGTGTCACACTGGCGAAAGCGGAGAAAATAAAAAGATTTCTTTTTCAAACCAGGTAATATATTTACCCAGCTTGTTATCGCCACTGTCCAAAAATATGTCAATCGTTTCGAGGTAAAAAATCTCGCGCTAAAGCTACTCGGTGAACTCGAACGATCCTCACTGGAGAACTGATTTGCCAATTTATTTCGCGAGGGTTCACGAGATTTTTGTTAACGCAGTCAGATCCCGCCGTTGCCCGGCCTGACGAAAAACGGTCGCCGGGTGATCGTTATGCGAGGTGTCGACAAGGACGTGCCGACCCCGAACGTGACCGAGACGCTGAAGCTGGTGATGATGATAGGGGACATACGTCTGAAGGAGGAACTGGTCGGTGTCGCGGGCGACGTGTACGTCCTGGACGCCAGCGTCGCGACACCGGCGCATTTCGCGAAATTCACGCACGGGATCGTGAAGAAGTTCCTCGTGTGCGTGCAAGAGGCATACCCGGTCAAGCTGAAGGAGGTACACGTGGTGAACGTCAGCCCCCTCGTCGACACCATCGTCAAGTTCGTGAAACCGTTCCTCAAGGAGAAGATACGCAACAGGATCTTCATGCACAGCGACGTCAAGACCCTCTACGATTACGTTCCCAAGGAAATACTGCCCACGGAGTATGGTGGCGATGCTGGGCCCATTCAGGTCATCCACGGTACGTTGATCGGTCCCAGAATCATTTAAACTCTTATTCAAGGTGTTTGACGGGCCCAAAACGAGCTATATTTTCACGACTTTTTTGAGAGAAATTGTTTTGTTATTCATTCTTGAGACATTGATGAAAGAACGTCTACTATAATTTGTAGAGTATAGTGTTACGCCATTTTGATGGGCCCAAAACGAGCGATATTTTCACGAATTTTTTGAGAGAAATTGTTTCGTTATTCATTCTTGAGACACTGATGAAAGAACGTCTTTTATAGTTTGTAGAGTACGATGATCGATTCAGGAATTTTTCGAACCCTTATTTGAAGTGTTATACCACTTTGATGGGCCCAAAATGAGCCATATTTTCACGAATTTTTTGAGAGAAATTGTTTCGTTATTCATTCTTGAGACACCGATGAAAGAACGTCTTTTATAGTTTGTAGAGTACGTTGATCGATCCAGGAATTTTTCGAACCCTTATTTAAAGTGTTAGACCATTTTGATGGGCCCAAAACGAGCGATATTTTCACGAATTTTTTGAGAGAAATTGTTTTGTTATTAATTCTTGAGACTTTGATGAAAGAACGTCTTTTACAGTTTATAGAGTACGATGATCGATCCCAGAATTTTTCGAACCATTATTTGAAGTGTTAGACCATTTTTACGGACCCAAAACGAGCGATATTTTCACGAATTTTTTGAAGGAAATTGTTTCGTTATTCATTCTTGAGACATTGATGAAAGAACGTCTACTATAATTTGTAGAGTATAGTGTTAGACCATTTTGATGGGCCCAAAACGAGCGATATTTTCACGAATTTTTTGAGAGAAATTGTTTTGTTATTAATTCTTGAGACATTGATGAAAGAATGTTTTCTATAATTTATAGAGAACGTTGATCGATCCCAGAATTCTTCGAACCATTATTTGAAGTGTTAGACCATTTTTACGGACCCAAAACGAGCGATATTTTCACGAATTTTTTGAGAGAAATTGTTTCGTTATTCATTCTTGAGACACTGATGAAAGAACGTCTTTTATAATTTATAGAGTACGTTGATCGATCCCAGAATTCTTCGAACCATTATTTGAAGTGTTAGACCATTTTTACGGACCCAAAACGAGCGATATTTTCACGAATTTTTTGAAGGAAATTGTTTCGTTATTAATTCTTGAGACATTGATGAAAGAACGTCTTTTATAGATTGTAGAGTACGTTGATCGATCCAGGAATTTTTCGAACCCTTATTTGAAGTGTTAGACCACTTTGATGGGCCCAAAACGAGCGATATTTTCACGACATTTTTGAGAGAAATTGTTTTGTTATTCATTCTTGAGACATTGATGAAAGAACGTCTACTATAATTTGTAGAGTATAGTGTTAGACCATTTTGATGGGCCCAAAACGAGCGATATTTTCACGAATTTTTTGAAAGAAATTGTTTCGTCATTAACTCTCGAAATATTGATAAAAGAACGTCTCCAACAATTAATATCATATTTTAGAATTTTTCAAACCCTTACTTGAGGGGTACACCACCTTGACGGGCCCAAAACAAGATTTTTCTCGAATCTTTTACACTAAATTGTAAACAAGTGGCTTCAAACATTATAAAAATCTGAGGAAAAGAGAAAGAAGAGAACTTCTTCTTCTGAGATTCAGAGTTGAATTGACAGGAATTTTAAGGGTCGAAAATAGACTAATCATCTTGGAATTTTGTCATGTTGTTTTCTCTAGTTTCTCCGTTGTATAAAACGTACATTGTTTTCATTTGCACATAGAACGAAAATAAAAATAATAAAATACACAAATCTGGAGAAACAGTGTTTCCAAGATTTCGAAGCTTGATCATTCTTTCAAGGTTTTAACTACAATTCGTGACTGTCGCTTTTACTTTTTACTGTTCGGTTTTTTACAGAAACATGGTTGAAGAAACTCGAAGAGTACCGTCCATGGTTCTTGGAGCAGGAATCCGTAAAAGCAAACGAGGATCTTCGGCCAGGAAAACCAAAGACCCACGACGATCTATTTGGTATCGATGGATCATTTCGACAGCTGAATGTCGATTAAGACAGCATATCGTGAATTCAGCTAAAGTAAAATGAAAAGGATATGTATATAGAACAACGTCGATGAGCAGGTCGAAAAGCTTTAAGATAATATCGATAACAATTACACAGAATTATATTTTTTTTACTATTCATCGTTTTATAAATAAAATACCAGAACCATTTTATCATGCTTGTACATTTTAGTGGTCTTAGAAAACGGTATGAAACTTCAACTTTTTCTTTCGAGCCCTTTCGCGTCGTCGATGATCAGTCGACGCCTCGAACATGAGGTCAAGAATTTATTTGTACATAAACAAATAAATGTATTATTATTCTAATATAAAATCGTCCATATTTTTCTATATTAAAAATTTTCTTTCGCGTACCCGTATCCGTGGATCGTGAGATGCAATCCGTGTCAGAAAATATTGTTTTATATTTTCCAGTCGAAAAGGAAATGTGAAAAAAGCATTCGTTTCGTATTATAACAATTGGAATGTTCAAGATTAGATGGGCAAACGTTTGGTAAATATTCGTTTATTTTTACTAGAAATTTTTAACAATAAAGAGTGTTCTATTGTGTTCAGAATGGTGATAGTTGATTTTCGTTCGAAACGCAGAAAAATTGTAATGGCGCCTTTTGTTGTCTGTATATAGAGTGTTTTGTTTACGTTCTCTCGATTCAATTTTTTTTAAGAAACTTGCATCTTTTATCAACTCCACGCCACACTGTGGGAAATAGGCTCGGTTTATGTGCAATGTACGATATACATATAAGTATGTGAAAAGTAGAGAATGTACAGTTCGCAAAGCAAATCATGGATGCAACAAAGCATTTGTTTATACAAGGTGTTCGGCTATTCCTGGGAAAAATTTTAATGGGGGATTCTAGAGGCCAAAATAAGACGAAAATCAAGAATACCAATTTGTTGATGGAGGCTTCGTTAAAAAGTTATTAATGTTTAAAGTTCCGCCCTTACTGAATTTTTTTCTCGAAAATGCGCAGGATTTCGGGGGTATGTCTATTCACCAAAAACGATTGTAATTGATCCCCCCCAAACGAAAATAATTTTTCCAAAGCGATTTGGAATTTTTTTTTCCCCTCGAAAAATTTCACACCTTCTCGAATTTTTTTCTAGAAAATGAGTAGGATTTCAGGAGAATCTGTAATGAACGAAAATGATTGTAATTGACCCCCGCAACCGAAAATAATTTTTCCAGAATGATTTGGAATTTTTTTTTTCGTCGAATTTAGGCACCTAATTAGATTTTTGGTTAGGAATTTTTTTCTCGAAAGTGCGTAGGATTTCGGGGATATGTGTAATGACCAAAAATGATCGTAATTGACCCCCTCAATGAAAAATAATTTTTTTAGAACGATTTGAAAAATTTTTTTTTCGCCAAGATATTGTTGAGTTTAATTATTAATAACTTTTTAACGAAGCCTCCATCAACAAATTGGTATTCTTGTTTTTCGTCTTATTTTGGCCTCCAGAATCCCCCATTACAATTTTTCCCAAAAGTGGGAGAACACCCTGTATAAGGAATCAATTCCAGCTTTGTTGCAAACTTTTCGAATTTTGAAGACTTAACGTAAGGAACTGTACTCGAACAAGCGTACGTTGAATTTATTTTTCAATTATATATAAAAAAAAATAAGATATAGATTAATGGTAGTACAATATATGATTTTTTTTATTATATTCAAATCGAAATAAAATTTGATGAAATTGATACAAAATTTTGAAATTATTTTCTTTGGAATAAAAACGAGTATGAATTTATTTAATTCGTTGACGAAATGTTACTTGCATCGAGTCTTCAAGATATTTTCGTAGTTGATCCGTAATATTACACAGGTCCTATGTAATAATAATGTAATATACACTCGATCAAGCGTGACATTTTCTACAGATATGCAAATATTACAGATGTATACTGAATTCGTGTTATATCGAACAAATCACGACATATAAATGTACTGAAAAATAATTTAGTGGCCAGTATCAGTCAACAGTGACAACTATTCTTTTTGCACCTACCTTTCTCTATACTGTCTATAATACTAATTACACTTCGTGTATACAATGAATTAGTAGTTATAGTACTGTTATTAAAAGTTATTAACAATTAAATTCAAAAATTTCAAATCGTTCTGAAAAAATTATTTTCGGTTGCGAAGGTCAATTACAATCATTTTTGGTGAATAGACATACCTTCGAAATCCTATCCATTTTCGAGAAAAAAATTCGAGAAGGTGTGAAATTTTCGACGGGGGGAAAAAAATCTCGAATCGTTTTGGAAAAATTATTTTCGGTTACGGGGGTCAATTATGATCATTTTTGGTCATTACACATACCCTCGAATTCCTACCCGCTTTCGAGAAAAAAATTCGAGAAGGTATGAAATTTTTCGGCAAAAAAAAAATTTCAAATCGTTTTGGAAAAATTATTTTCGGTTGCGGGGGTCAATTACAATAATTTTTTGTGAATAGACATACCTTCGAAATCCTATCCATTTTCGAGAAAAAAATTCGAGAAAGTGTGAAATTTTTCGACGGAAAAAAAAATTTCAAATCGTTTTGGAAAAATTATTTTCGGTTGCGGGGGTCAATTACAATAATTTTTGGTGAATAGACATACCCCCGAAATCCTGCGCATTTTCGAGAAAAAAATTCAGTAAGAGCGGAACTTTAAACGTTAATAAATTTTTAACGAAGCCTTCATCGACAAATTGGTATTCTTGATTTTCGTCTTATTTTGGCCTCTAGATTCCTCCATTAAAATTTTTCCCATGGTTGGCCGAACACCCTGTATATAATTATTCGTAACAAGATCGTTTAACAGAATTTGTTTAATAAGAAAACTTTATCAGGTATGCTGAAATATTTTGGTCGTTTCTTACGTGAAAAATTAACGAAGCATATTTTGGTTTTGAAACTGAATTTTCCACAAAAGATCACTTTCGTCGTTGAATTACTTCTTTCACCTGTTTTAACAAACAATTAACACGAATAATTCCTTTTCAGTAAGAACCACGTAAATTGATCGGATCAATCCTTAATTAGAGTCGCGTATTTGCACTACTAGTATCAATTTACTATTAAAAACTAAAAAGCAGCCATCTTCCTTAAACAATTGCCTTCACTTTATGCAATTCGCTATGCAGAATATTGTAGCACAATATTAAGTAGAAACAAGCAGAATTTTATTTCAATTCACTTACTTTTTTGTCGTCCAAGCGCTGACATGACATTCTCTACCGAAGACTATAATTAATTTCACCTGTTCGTTAGAGGACAAAAAAAAAAATCTGTTAAAACAGAATGCAGCGTCGAGTGAAAGCGACCATGTCCGAAAGAACGTATCTAAATTGCTCGGGTTTCCGTTTACGTTCTTCTGATGCAATTAAAGCATTCAGGCGATCGAATGCAACGTGAAACGATTCGAATGCTTACTTTTTAGAAACGACATTCCTAAAACACACGGTATCTCCACCGTAGACAGTATTCCAAATAAAAATACTCGTAAACCACTACAACACTGGAACTACTAAACCAGTCAAAAAATGACCCATTCGTAATTTTTAATAAGACTTACAAACAAAAATAAAAGTAACATTCGACTTTGAATTTTTGAAAGTTTACTGTAATTTTCTATGAGAGAATGAATATTCATTTATTCCCATTGCATCATGTAGTTTTTCGTTTTAATTTCAAATTTAAATTTACTATAATTGTCGGTAGTTCCAGTGTCAAGACGAAGGTGAAACTAGGATAAAACGACACTTTTGTAATTCGAAACATTCTTTCCCCTTCCCTCGAGATTCAAATTATCTAGGTTCCACTGTAGTTTAACACTGGAACTACCAAAACAACCAAAATGACCCATTCGTAATTTCTAATAAGACTTATAAACAAAAATAAAAATAACAAATTTATTCGACTTTGAATTTTTGAAAGTTTACTGTAATTTTCTATGAGAGAATTAATATTCATTTATTTCCATTGCATCATATATTTTTTCGTTTTAATTTCTAATTTAAATTTACTATAATTGTCGGTAGTTCTAGTGTTAATATTTCCACAACAGCCATTCGTAATGAGAACAAATAAAAATAAATATTTTTTCATTTTTATAATTAAAAATTTACATTACGAGTGAGCAATTGAACGTAAAATTGAACTGTGTTAGTAACGACCATAAAAAATTGCAAAGCCTTAAAAAAATTGCGTAGAAACAATTCACCTTTCGTGTTATCGTTTCGACGAAAAGTCACTTTCTTCATCGTTCCAGTTTTACGTCGCTTTATATCGCGCGAAGGAAACATAAAAGGCACTTCGCCTACATATGTGAAAGGTATGAATGCTTTGATGACAACCCATGTTCCCCATATTTCGTAGATCTCTCTAATAAATTCCTTTTTATCGGCGATACCTCCGTTCAATTACTTTTTACGCGTTAAAAACCGAGCGAAGCGAGTGAAAGCCGCGTAATGAGCCACGAGCTACGAAAAGAAATACGAGAGCCGTGTGGAGAGTATTACGAAAGTACAGAAATTGACAAAAACCATAACTTTCCTCGTTGCAACCTAGAGAACTGTAATTACTACAGGATCGAATTAAATTAAAAAAAAAATTTGTGAAACGTTATCTTTAACACTAAATTTATATTTAAAATTCTCTGAGTCCATATCTAAAGTTGCAGAAAATGTAAATACTATTTTTTAACAACTTATGTTGAATTTGATTGAATACATATTCTAATTAAAAGAAAAATCGTATTTTAAGGTAATCATTGTTAAAAATGAACACTAACGAACGGTCTGTTGCAAAGATTTTATTTTATTGATATAATACACCTCTTTTCCTTTTTATAATATGGTAGCACAGCGTGGTTACGATCCACGGATCTCTGCAGTCATTACCGGTAGCGTTACCATCACCTTCGTACGCGTTGCTATATATATTCTGACAATCATCAACATGAAAGGTATCAATAAATATATGTACGATCAATGCCTGTAAAAGTGTTAAAACTGTCCGTAATAAAATTTTCAACCCACTTTTCGCGACAGAAATGGGGTAAAATCGCATCCTAAAATTGTATCCTCGGATACAAGGATCTATTGCAGGATTAATTTTAATTTACAGTCGATTTATCGTTCTTCTGAAAAAAATTAAGAAACTAAGAAACTAAGTGTTGATGAGGTCAGGATATAAAATAACAAACTTAGACACAAACGAACAAAATATGAATTTATATAAGAGCAAAATATGGCTTTACACAAACGTTCCGTTGGACATGAAAATATGTAATGCGACAGTCGCTCGTCGCAACGAAACATTCGAGACAAAAACAATTATTTGTAACTGGAACATTCTCAGCAGGCAATGAATGTACATGTATCCAATGCCTGAGAAATAATCTCGTCCTTTTTCTTAACACTAAGAAACTAAGAAACTAAGAAACTGAGAAACTAAGAAACTAACAATAAGAAACTAAGAAACTGAGAAACTAAGAATCTAAGAAACTAAGGATCTAAGAAACTGAGAAACTAAGAATCTAAGAAACTAAGGATCTAAGAAACTAAGAAACTAACAAACTAAGTAACTAACAAACTAACAAACTAACAAACCAACAAACTAAGAAACTGAGAAGTCGTTTCATCGACTTCCTTTCTGGTTACGCGTCCGAATTAAATGCGAGACGAGTAGGCACTTTCGTTCCGCGAGGAGTCACTCCCCCACTGCCACCCCCCCTATCTCCCACTCGTTCGTCCTTTGGCCGACTCAAATCGTCGTCGAGTCACTCGCCACTCAGTCAGTCAGTCAGTCAGTGAGTCAGTCAGTCAGTCAGCCGCGTAATCGATCACACCGTTGAATCGATTAGACCGTTCGTTCGATCGTCGACGTCCCGGTGGCGGTTCGCCGTGATTTATTGGGATTCCCCCGCTGACAAATTTCCTAGCTGACAGTGCGTTCACCTTGCCAAACGTGCGGTGTGCTCGTGTGACCAGCCTGAGTTATTGCTTGGTCGAGTGTTAAGGCGTGGATAATTTGTTCCCTGGTCGGGATAGAAACGTGTAACGCGTGTAACCTGCACGAGAGACACCGATATCGAAGTTGAAATGTAGAAACGTTCCCAACGAACATAAACGCTGCTCGATGGATTCCTGATAAGTTCACGAAAGGTAAACGAAAATATTAAATCTAAAATTATTATTATCATTGGTCATTACTAAACTGTCTATCTTCATGCAAATTCATATTTTTATTAATAAAATTGATGAAATTGGAGCTTTGTAGAGGGTTGTCTCAACCCTTAAGTATAATAATTCGTATCTTACTTTAAGTATTTCGTATATTTTTGCATATTAAATGCATTCTGTAGTTTTTTGAAAATTAAAATTTCCCATAAATATTTATTCGTTCCCGTTTTATTTTGAGGGCTTTCGTTACAAAAGTTCCATCGAACTTATTGAAAAAGTTCTATAAGTAATTCGATCCTTGACTTTCTCTTTTTGAAAATTTCAATAGTTTCACACTGTTCGTTCGTTAACGTTTATGTTAATTTACATCTTTCATTGTATTTTTATTTTTTTTTTAATTTCCACTGATTGGTTTATTTTTACAAGTTTGGTTTGATCTGAAATTTAGTTGTTTTGTAAGTTCCGAAGGATGACGAATAAACAAGACGTCTCTACGTGGTTTCGAAAGAATAAGTTTTATTTATGTAAAATAGCAATTCGAATAAGGTTTGAACAGAGCTATCCCAAATGATCGAACAACAAAAAATTTTAAATATAATTTTGATCATTCGTGAAACATGAACTTTTCAAATGAGACGTTCGATCATCCCTTGGCGTTTAATATTCTTACTTAAGTCTGCATTACATGAGCCAATGGTCGACAATATAGCCACCATCTGCATCGAAAGTATGGACTTAACGATCATCGAAGAATATTTTATACCTATTTCGTGCATGCAATATGCATGATTTCGATGAATCACGGGGACAGCGTCAGCTAAATAAATCGACGACCTCGGTGACGACGAAAGAAGTTCATTACTGCAATCAACGTGATTTTTCATAACGATTCAGCATTTATCGATTAATTCTTTTATCAACCGTTGTGTTCTCCGAGTAGAAAAGAACTTTTCCGTCTTTGGTTTACATTGATATGATAAAAGATTAATGATAAACAAGATAAGATATTTAATTAATATTATAGGAAGCATTTTGCCAAACGTTAACAACGATCGAGTCAAATTGGACAGATCTAACGACGAAAATCGACGTATAGCCGCTGTTATCTGTCCCTTTCTGGTTAGTTGAGCCCAAGTCACGAGACCGTGTCCAGTAACAAGATTACCACTTTCCTAACGGATGAAACACGACACGTAATTGTAGTGTAAGTTGTAACGAGAGTCCGCAACCGATCATTACATCGTACGAGATCGATGTGCTTGTCAATTTTCCAAGGATTTTGCTTTCCGTTCCTTCCTCGCTTCCTGCGCCCCTTCTCTTCCTCCCTCGATTCCATAATACACTTTAAGAAAAAAGAAAAACTAATAAATATCGTTTCATAAAGTCACGATGACAAATTTAAATGTCCACGATAGAATTTGTTTGTCTTTTTGCTGAAACTATTAGGTGTACACATGAATGATCCGTTTGTGCCGCATCCTCAGCGAGCAGTTGTTCCAAATCATCGTTGTCGCGCTTACGAGGGCCTCCAGGGGCGTTGTTTGTCGATCAGACTCAAATCACCGCTTTTAACACTAGATTGCCCAAGGAAGTAATTTTGACTGCTTTTTAATTTCAATTAGAAAAACAATTATGTATATAATGACACAATTTCTTAGAATTTTGTGACTTTTTGTACAACATATAAATGCGTTTATTAATAATTGTAGTTACCTCCTCCCTCCTTCATGTATGTGTTATACCTATATTGGTCAAAAGCAGTCATTTTGATTTTGACTATACTAAGTTTCAGTCTTTCTAGTGTTAAACCGCTTAGACCAAAATGAGCACACATCATACGATATAACACCTTCATCGAGAAAGGAACAAATCGATTTTCATGCTCTTGCAGCATTTTTTCCTTGTTGGAATTCGTAAAGAATGCAGCGTCGAATATGCACCTTATCTTTTGCCATTTTTGACTCCACTGAATCGAATACTTTTGAATGTTATGTTGAGCCTTTCGCTAAACTATCTTTTATTTTAACTATATGTCAACACTATATGACCACAAAAGAGCGGGAAAATCTGTTCACTTTAAACTTGATTTTATAACTGCTCAAGATAATTTGGATCGTAAGACTATTTCATAAGAATTTCATTGCATTTCATTTTAAGTTATCGATATAGTTAATTTTTACTATCCAATTAAAAACTAAATATTCTTATTATTAAATAACTTTTTTCCATACCATAAGACTATTTCATAAGAATTTCATTGCATTTCATTTTAAGTTATCGTTACAGTCAATTTTTACTATCCAATTAAAAACTAAATATTCTTATTATTAAATAACTTTTTTCCATACCATAAGACTATTTCATAAGAATTTCATTGCATTTCATTTTGAGTTATCGTTATAGTTAATTTTTACTATCCAATTAAAAACTAAGTTGTTTTTTAATGTATAAATGTGTAATATTATTTAAGGTTGTATAGAGAAGTATCGGGATATTTCAAACGTAGTTTTCGACGTGGTCGACCACCCACCCGATTTTTATCGACGGTATTTAAAGACTTTACGCACGACGAGTACGCAGACAAAATATTTAGCGTCGACGTTGGACGTCCACTTTCCAAACTTCCTGCGCGCTTCACTTCCTGGATACCTCCGCAATCGTTTTACCGAGAAATCTCCCGTGGAATGCAAATAACATGCACCGGAGAACGACTCGAATTCTTCGGCATGTTCCATCTTCCTCGTCGAGGAACGAACGTCAATCTGAACGTCGTCGAACACGAGTTATTTCCCCGAGAAATAAACAAATGTCGATATCGCAACGACTTTTTACGCGCCACGATACTGGCAAATTTAATTATCGACCCTTTCAATCAAAAATAATTTTTTTAAAATGATTAGAAATTTTTTAATTTTGCCAAAAAATTCCATGTTCTGAATTTTTTTCTCGAAACTGAGTAGGATTTCGAGGGTATGTCTATTCACCGAAAATGTTTATAATTGACCCACGGAGCCGAAAATAATTTTTTTAGCATGATTTGAAATTTTTTAATATTGTCAAAAAAGTCGACATTTCCGAATTTTTTTTCTCGAAACTGAGTAGGATTTCGAGGGTATGTCTATTCACCAAAAATACTTGTAATTTATCCCTGTAACTAAATATAATTTTTTTAGTAGGATTTACAATTTTTTAAATTCCTCTAAAAATCTCAGTATTTACTCGAATTTTTTTCTCGAAAGTGGGTAAGATTTCAGGGGTATGTCTATTCACCAAAAATACTTGTAATTGATCCTTGTAACTAAATATAATTTTTTCAGTATGATTTGAAATTTTTTAATTTCGTCTAAAAATTTCAATATCTACTCGAATTTTTTTCTCAAAAGTCGGTAAGATTTCAGGGGTATGTCTATTCACCAAAAATACTTGTAATTGATCCCTGTAACTAAATATAATTTTTTTAGTAGGATTTACAATTTTTTAAATTCCTCTAAAAATCTCAGTATTTACTCGAATTTTTTTCTCGAAAGTGGGTAAGATTTCAGGGGTATGTCTATTCACCAAAAATACTTGTAATTGATCCCTGTAACTAAATATAATTTTTTTAGTATGATTTGAAATTTTTTAATTTAATTTTTTAATAACTTTTTAACGAACACACTGTATAATATGTGCAGTATATAAAATATATATAACATTAATCAGATCGTAATGTCCATCAAATTCTAGATTTCGAAGTGTGTTACTATATAGCACGAAACAAGAGACAGTGTAAATTTCGATTGTACTGCTAATTTACAACCACACAGTAAACCAAACGAAGCGAAGGATCCTCCGGTTTGTAAACAAACAACGACAGTACATGTGGCAACCTTCGACGCGACTCGTCGATGAGAGGAACAGCCGTCGCGAGTCGGAAACGGATCTGCAAATCACAGTACGCGAGTTTTCCTCGTCGATGACGTCTCGTTTCCAAGAGGAAAGCTATTTATCGACCAAGGATCCTCGTATTCGAAGATTCACTCGTATTTTTTATTCGAATCTCGATCGTCGAACGCGCTCGAAGCGTTACTCGGTCAAAGAAATTGTAGTGTTTGGTCAAGGATCCCTAATTGCGACGATTCATTCTTACATAAACGAGGAAAGAAACAAATGGAAGAATAACAACGTCGTTTAACACTTCTGGAGTTTATCGACGAATTAAAAACCAGCTGATTAGATTGAAAACAGTACGAACGATTTGACAATCTTAAAGTTCTCTAATAGAAATAAAGCGAGATCAAATTCGTTGCATCGCGAATCCAAGAGTCTCCACTGATCTTCCGTTTCGAATGTTGCAGAATCGGTGGACCATTTGGAGTCGAAACGAAGCGACAACCGAGGGGATCGAGTCATCGAGGAGCCTCAAATTACCAACGATTTGCGATTGAAGAGGGAACTCGATTGGAAAATATTCGCGAGAGGTGCACGCGAACGATCGATATGCGACTCGAGAAACAATCAACGCTAATCGTGTCGAACACAGCGAAAAGGTGATCAACGATTACTCCTGGTCCCACGTAGACAGTTGTGGGAGGAAGGTCGAGGATGAAGCTGAACGTGTTCGCTGCCTGTGTCGCGGTGAGTGTTATTTTTATTAAATATACTAGCTGGTTATAAAACACGAGAGCTTGAAGCAATGACTCCGGCTAATTACCGCGAGGTCTATACAAAAAATCTTCTACAATCCACAATGCTTGACATTTATCTCTAAAAATTTAACAGTACAGTCTTAAATATATTTCAAAAAATGAAGCAAAAAGAAAATTGATAGTTTTGAGGTCTCACATGAGACTCCCCCCTTAAATATACTAGCTATTTACTGGTGTGCAAAGTTATAAAACACGAGAGTTCGATGGTTATAGTGAACTAGAATTCGTTAAAATTAACGTTCCCCCAAATAGATGATAAATGATGTTATTACAAAGGTGATAGTGTTAGTATCGTACCCAAAAAAAAATATAGAATAGAATAGAACGTTCCCCCATTATCTGTGGTCTCTGTTTACAATTACGATTGTGTTAGAAACGTAGAAATAAATGAATGCCTGAAGCAGGCCATGTGCTTCTCCTTGTCGCGTTTCCCCCTCTTAAGGGGGGAGTCTCATGTGATTGATAGAAAATTGAACCATTTTTCTTAATTTTTTTAAAGAAATCTGATGTTATGATTCTTTTTTTATCAATCTCAGCTCCATATAGAATTCCTTCCAGAATATTGCCACCTACATGACAAAAACACTAAAATTTCAACTTCTAATAACAGCAGCTATCTCTTGACCCGGTCGTAAACCTTTCGAAACATTCTTAAATATATATACTTTCAAAAAATGAAGCAAAAAAAAAATTGATAGCTTTGAAGTCTCACATGAGACTCCCCCTCTTAAAGGAGGATTGGCCAAGACGCTTGGAAAAAGGGGGGTCATACTGTCAAGGGTGCCCTCACAACTCTGAGTTTCTGTCAGAATACAGAGTACTCTATTGACTCTTACCATGAACACAGATAAGATAGTTTTAGAAAATCCATCGTGTGTCGATTTTATTAAAACTCTCGATCACTATTCTGATCCTGATATGAACTTTTCTTACAATTGTTTTCTTTAACTTGTCGTAAGCGCTGCTCTTATACGGACAGTGTTGAATTTATTTTCCCGCGTGTCGTTCGATCCCCGACGATTTTAAATTCGTGAACACGCGTTGAACCTGATCACATCGTTGCCGCGTGTTACGTCACGTATGTATTTTCGACACCGTGCGAACGCACGCGTGATTATCAAGCAAGACGAGACGCCGTACCGTCGAGTGCTTATTTGTAATCACGCGTGGTGCAACGCACACGAGTCGCGGCACACACGAAACACCATACCTTCTTTCATATCTTTATCGAGCATGCAAATTCATACGACTCGAAACTGACATTTTCGACTCGTATGTGTCCGAAGAAACAACCTCGAAAATTACTCGTTGGCTACTTATTTCGAGTCCTCTCAGGTTTAACTAATTAACTCAAATAGAGTTTATTAAAAGGAAAGAATAATCAACCTGAAAGCTGATGAGCCCTTTTTAGGAATTATTTATTCCTGTTCTGTTCTCGTATAATTCTTTTTTTCAAACGTTCTGGTATCCAGACAATCGACTCGACTATCCACCAGTCACACGTTTGCGTTTTTGACGGAATTCTTCGCGTTAATTGAAGCTAATATAATTTCATTTATACAACGTGAGACAAATGTCGATAATGAAAATTTTCTAATGGTTTACGACACATGTATAGTTTTTTTTTAAATTCGAAGAACCTTGAGAACCTTGAAGTGCCTTGAGATCCATGGAATCCAGATTTCCTCTAAAGACAGTTGAAATTCGTGTCAATTAAAGTCAACATAATTTTATTTATACAACGTAACACTAATGTCGATAATGAAAATTTTCTAATGGTTTACGACACATGTATAGTTTTTTTTTAAACTCGAAGAACCTTGAGAACCTTGAAGTGCCTTGAGATCCATGGAATCCAGATTTCCTCTAAAGACAGTTGAAATTCGTGTCAATTAAAGTCAACATAATTTTATTTATACAACGTAACACTAATGTCGATAATGAAAATTTTCTAATGGTTTACGACACATGTATAGTTTTTTTTTAAACTCGAAGAACCTTGAGAACCTCGAAGTGTCTTGAGATCCATGGAATCCAGGTTTCCACTAGAGAGAGTTGAATTATATTTATCCTGAAACTGCAGACAACTGTTGACTTACTGTTTCGTAAACGTGGAATGTTCGAATATCGTCTTCTGCATACGGTGCTTACCGACTTGACGAGATAACGAATTCCTGACTGATCGATCGTTGCAAATCCCCTGACATTGACGATCGTAGACCCCGTATGACCGGAAATAGCGGCCGGGACATCGACTTCCGGTCCTCATGTCTTACAGGCAGACGCGTATTACCATCACGCGAGTCTGCATTCTTATTGTCTGCTGGGATTGGCCTTCGAGCGGTACTACTCTCGCGCAGGTTCTAATTAATCGACGATTTATAACGATAGAAATCGGAAAGAGTAACGATCTTTGAGATATGCTGTTGGTACGAATTAACACGTTCAGCGCCATATCAGAACCATATAATATTCTATAAAAGTGAAATTTTGTAAGCTACATAACTTACAATTTATTACAATACTTATTTTCGTAACCTTGTTCACAAATTCCATTCAAATTTATTTCCCTCGACATCTTAACTCGAGAATTAATTTTTCTAGTATCATAATCGTAAATCCTGTGACCCATATGTGGGACACGTGGCAGTGAAAGTGTTAAATTTGATCAAAGTAAAAAAAATTTTAATTGAAAGATTCTAGAGGCCAAAATAAGACGAAAATCAAGAATACCAATTTGTTGATGGAGGCTTTGTTAAAAAGTTATTAATTTTTGAAGTTTCGCCCTTACTGAATTTTTTACTCGATAATGCGCAGGATTTCGGGGGTATGTCTGTTCATCAAAAATGATTTCAATTGACCCATGAAACCAAAAATAATTTTTTCAAAACGATTTGAAACTTTTTTTTCGACGAAAAATTTGTCCACATTCCTGAATTTTTTTCTCGAAAATGCGTAGAATTTCAGGGATATGTGTATTCACCAAAAATGATTGTATTTGACCCCAGAACCTAGAAATAATTTTTTTAGAACGATTCAAAATTTTTTTTTTTACCTAGAGCACCCCTTGTCGATTTGTCTTAAAAACTCGTTTTTCATTTGTAATAAATTTGTTTGACGCTGTATGGAAATTTTGTCTAATACTTTTTTGTAAGTATCCATGAGCTCTACTTTAGAAAAAAATTTCATTAAAATATATTCACTATTCTAGGAGTTATAGTCGTTCGAAAATTAGACCATTTTTATGGGGTTTTTCTCATTTATCGGGGTCAAGGAACAACTTTTCGAATATTCTTGGAATTTCTACATATTTTGCACTAAAATACGCGTCGTTTGCATTTTGAAACATTAAAATCCTCCAATCCGTTTAAAAGTTATGACATTTTAAAGGTTCGCATGAAATTTTAAGGAAGCATTTCTGGCCTTACATTAGATTTTCAGTAAGGAATTTTTTTCTCGAAAATGCGTGGAAATTCCGGGGCACGTGTAATGACCAAAAATGATTGTAATCGACCCTTGTAACCGAAAATAATTTTTCCAGAACGATTTGAAAAATTTTCATTCGCCGAAAAATGTCAGCACCTACTGGAATTTTTTTCTCAAAAGCGGGTAGAATTTCGAGGGTATGTCTAATGACCAAAAATGATTGCAATTGACCCCCTCAACCGAAAATAATTTTTCCAGAATGATTTGAGACTTTTCAATTTAATTGTTAATAACTTTTTAACGATGCCTCAGTCAAGAAATTGATATTCTTGATTTTCATCTTATTTTGGCCTCTAGAATCTTCCATTAAAATTTTTCCCATGGGTGGCCGATCACCCTGTATATTGTTTATTTTTCTCTGATCGAAATTAATGTTTACATTTGTATTAAAATAAAGTATACATACATAATTATATAGAAAACGTTGATTGAGGTTTGCAGGTCCTAAGAAACCAACTTACCAAAATGGCGACCTTCATTGTTTCGACCAATCCACCTTTGATCGATGGTTCCATTATCTCGATAAAAGAAACCAAGGGTTAAGGGTTGCCATAGAAAAAATTGTTCAAAATACTATGAGACAGAAGTCAACTAGGATTTCTCAATCCATAACAGCAATAAATAAAACACAATAGATTTGATAAACACTTGTTTGCTTCTCCCAATTAGTGAAATCAGCGAAAGATTAAGTCCACGTTGGGGTCGAAACGATCTTCATGGAATCGAAAATGGCTCCGAGAGTCACTTGACGACGGATTCTGTCGTCGTAATAAAAACGCAGGGACACGGGTTTACAATAAGCTCCGTGTTTGCAGAGCGTATTGGCGTTTGTCATACAGATATTACGTGGTCGTCGAACCTTGAGAAGTTCCTGGAATGAACGTACACGGTGGAGAAGAGGTTCCAAACAGGACTCCAAACTCATTTCACGTAGCCCTTCGCGTCTCTGGCGTACGTGTCTTTTGTTTACTATCTATCTGCTTTCTAAAGTATAACAAGAAATCCTGAGAATCTTTAAACTTCTTAAATTAATCGATCACTGATCCCTTTGGAGCTTAAATGTTCGATGACACGTTGGATCGTTGTCTAAGATCGAGTTCTATCGTTCCTTGCGTATGTCTGACGATAGTTCCTGTCGACTCTCATACACGATGGTCGCCCATATCGTTTATTATAAGTCCAGAATCGTCCGTATCAGATCCTCTGCGTCGATGATTGGTAATATCGGTTTTCTGTCGTCCAAGTTAACGTCGTTTCATATTGGCTGATATCGTTGATTAGTGATAGAGTCGATACGATGCACATCGATATCGGTGACAGTCAAACGATTCGATGCTAGATTAGTAATGGGAAGCTATCGACATCTTACCTAAGCACCTTCCTCTTCGTTTTTACTGTCGACAATGTTATTATTATTTATTTTACGGGCAAAGAGCCCTGTTTGGGCTCCGGGTGGAGTTGACCAGACTTATAGCTCAAGTCTATACTTGATAAAAGGCTTCTGCAATCAATTAGTCCATTAACGACTTTGAACGAAAAAGATAAGGTATAGTTCTACGAGCTTCAAGTGATTCCTTTAGCACGTAACTCGGCTATAGTCATCATTCGCGACATCCATAGGTGTACCTAGTTATCAGAGGTTATGGAAAGAATATTACAAAGGTAATTAAATTAGAACAATTGTATTTAACTGGTACACAATACAAAGTAGAGAAGGATATGAAAAAAGAATACACTTGGACGCCTCACGGCCAGGAAATAAAAGCCTGCGCAAGAACGGGGAAACCCCTATCGCCATCGCTACCAACGGCTACAGGCTGGCCAACAATGCCGCCATTGACCGTCTTTCCAACACTAGTTTATGAGACTCAAATCGTAAAAATTTATGTTGCACTTTCTCAATTTGTTGCTTGTACACAGCATGTTCAGGTGACCAAATATCAGTAAATAATATTAGTACAAACGAGTGGATGCAGAAACAATTGTACCAACTACAAGCAAGAGTCATATTTGGAACAATTTGTTACGAAACGATAATTCGTTGTTCATTATCGATATTATTGAGTTTTATTTTCATCTCCGATCATTAATAGATGGATTCTTGTTTCTTTGGTGCCCCATGGCGCTGTACAGTTTCCCCGTCAGACTTTTCCACAACGATAAAACTCGAAGCAAGCGATCGAAACGACGCGAGGAGCGGCTATCGAGACAGGTTTTCTATCGAGTTCCTAAGGTCATAACTAAAGTTTAGATCTTGCGTGTTTGGTGGCCTTTACGAAAGTCCGTCACGTAGACTCCGCATACGTGACTTGCGGATTTATCGTAGTCGTACAGTTTCGTCATATCAAAATCGAATTCGACAACCAATGTTTTCCCTCTCTTAAAACGATTACAACCTTCGCTGTTACTTGTAAAACATCGCCGAAACAATAGTTTCTTTTAAACTGTCCCCTGCAGAAACTTCAAAATTTTCATAATTCTCCTTCGAATTAAATTGTACGTTCGATAAAATGCATATTACATTCGATATTTACGAAACGTTGATACGTTGTAATGAATCAAACGAATAAAAAGAAATGGGTCAACGCGTTCACTGTCCGGTCTCTCAGCGACGTATCTAATACCATGGTGGTTATGACCCGCATATGGGACACAGACAGTGAACCAGAAGGTGCTCTTTCATTTTATGCTGTTAATTTATTCGTCAACAAATATAATTGATACAAGATTTTAGTTACTTCACAGTCCTCGACATTCTCATCGACCAAATTTTCATATCTTCCATAAGAACGAATAGGTATTCGTTTGTTCAGAGGCATTTAGCAATAAGTTTAAACTGTATTAATCATTAAAATTGGTTCGAATCGTCGTTTTACAGGCTCCGATGATAGCGTCGATCGCCCTGATCAACGTTATCGACGCGAACCCGCCGTACTACGTAAAACCCATCGAAGACGAGAACGATTACGCTCGCGTCTTGGAGCTCTCGCTGTTGTTTTACGAGGCCCAGCGATCGGGAAGGCTACCGAAGAGCAATCGAATACATTGGAGGGGGGATTCAGCGTTGGAAGATCACGGTCTGAACGGCGAGGATCTGACCGGAGGCTATTACGATGGTAATAAATGATTCAGTTCTCTTGCAGGCATGAGAAATGTTTACGATAACCAGCCCAACGTTTTTGGTTGTTCTTCAGCTGGCGACTTCGTGAAGTTTGGCTTCACAATGGCGGCGACTACGACTTTGTTGGCGTGGGGCGCGGTCAGCTGGCCGGAAGCCTACACTGCCGCTGGACAGCTGAATGAAGTTCGCGAGGCCATCAGATGGGCCACGGAATACTTCATCAAGTGTCACGTCAGCGAGTACGTCTTCTACGGGCAGGTCGGTGATTTCTCGCTGGATCATACCTTCTGGGGCAGACCGGAGGAACTGAACACCACCAGGCCCGCTTATAAGATCGATCCTGAACACCCTGGTGAGCTTGAGTATATACGTCCAAAAAGTAATTCAACTGTTGACTATGGAAGACAATTCTCAAACGACCATAACTCCTGCAATAGCGAATGTATTTCATTGAAATTTATTTCTGAAATAGAGATCATGGATACCTGCTAAAAAGTATTAGACAACATTTCTGTAAGCTGTGAAACAAATTTATTAAAAATCAAAAACGAAGTTTTAAGACAAATCGACAGGCAGGTGCCTAAATTTTTCGGCGAAAAAAAAAATTTCAAATCGTTCTGGAAAAATTATTTTTGAATGTAGGGATCAATTGCAATCATTTTTTGTGAACAGGCATACCCCTGAAATCTTACGCATTATCGAGAAAAAAATTCAGGAACGTGGACAAATTTTCGACGAAATTAAAAAGTTTCAAATCATTTTGAAAAAATTATTTTTGAATGCAGTGTTTAATTGTAATCATTTTTGGTGAACAGACATACCCCCGAAATCGTACGCATTTTCGAGAAAAAAAATTCTTTACCGTAAATGTAATGTGTATTATTTGTTATTTGGACTTAATAGCTCGTTAAATTCGTCTTTTGTTGTAATAATATGTAATTTGTTCCCCAGGCTCCGATCTGGCGGGCGAAACGGCGGCCGCCCTCGCTGCTTCCAGTATAGTTTTCCGCGACCAGGATCCGGAGTACAGTGCTCGATGTCTGAAGCACGCCAAAGAATTGTACAGATTCGCGAACAGATATCGGGGACTTTATCACGAGGCGATCCGGGGAGCTGCCCAATACTACGAGAGCACCGATTACGGCGACGAATTGGCCTGGGCGGGTGCCTGGCTCTTCAAAGCCACCAACGACACGATGTACCTCGAGGATGCAGAGCATCATTATCAACATTTCCATCTCAGAGAGAGACCTAATGAATTCTTCTACAACAAAAAGGTCGCCGGGGTTCAGGTAACGTTAATCGCATTCGTGGAAGAAATTAACGACGCACTCGGTAACGTACACAAAATTTTGAAACGTTATCCCTCTGTCTCTATCCATTACTACGCAATAAATCTAGAAATTTGAAAGGAAAAAAACAAAATTTTCCAACCTTGGTACTTGCAGTGTTACAAGATCGATTTCGACTTGATATTTAGATTGTTTGTTGGCTTTTTAGGTACTGTTGGCACAACTGACTGGTCAGCAAGAGTATCAGAACGCCGCGCGTGCCTTCTGCGACTTTTCCGTGCGCCAGCAGAAGCGCACCACGAAGGGGTTGCTCTACATCGACAAATTCGGCACCCTGTGCCACGCAGCGAACGTTGCGTTCGTTTGCATGGAAGCAGCCGATTCGCCTGGCATCGGTGACCCCCAGGAATATCGTCAATTTGCCGAGCAACAAATTTACTATATGCTAGGGGGCGGCGGTGAGTTCCCTAAAGCATCTAAATTAATAATTGGAACGAACGAGTATCGCATGGACGAATAGAAAATTCAAATCAATTAAAATAATACGACACTCCGGTCATAGAATCAACAGGAATTGTTGAAACTTTCCTAGATATATAGCGTAAAAGTAAATGTCAAAATAAACATAGAAGATAGCAAAAATTATGGTAGCTGGTATAGTCGTTGGATGGAGGATGAAATGCCCTTTAAAACGAGCGTTCGAACGAGTCGATAGCTTTATTAGTTCCGGAGATATGGCGATTTCAATTTCAAGTCGATGCGGTGGCTAGTTACGGAGATATGAGAGTCCGAAGTGTTTGTTTACAAAGGTCATTGACCGCTCGTAGTAAACAGTAAACACTACGTCACTCGGTCAGTGGGTCAACGTGAGACAAGGAGGTCCCACGCGACGCTTTAGACGGAGACAGAGATAGTCGAATTAAGAAAAATTACCTTTCACATAAATTGTGATATCTCGAAAACGGGAAGTCCGATCGTCAAAAACCAAAAGCCATTTCAAAGAGGAGGCTTTCCCACTCCCAACTATGCCTCATTTATAAATAAAGCACTAGCAGTTTCGAAACTGCATGCGTCTAAAGTTTCTAGAATTTTTAGTACGCGTGAATAGGCTATTGTACGCGCGACGGACAGAGAGATAGTGGAAATTGGAAAATTACCTTTTACATAAATTGCGATATCTCCGAAACGGAAAGTCGGATCGACATAATTCAAACGGCATTTTAAAGGGGAAGGTTCACCGCTTCCAACGATGGCTCAATAATTTATAAAACACTAATAATTTCGGAACTGCACGCGTCTAAAGTTTTAGTATTTTTGATACGCGTTGTCAGACTGTTTTAAGACAGTGGACATGGAAAATCCTCTCCTTTCGTCTTTGCTATACATATATTTCCTATTCACATCGAAAACTGACCAGAATTTGACACCGAATTTTGTTCAGTTTTCTACAAAAAAATACAAATCTTTCAACCGGGCGGATGAACAGACTACATATTTTTCTCATAAAACAAACAATAAGAATAGAAGTGAATATTGTAAAATTCATTGCACGTATACTATAAGAAAAGTCGCGAAGTTAAATGGCGCTAAAATAATTAAACTTAAACTTTAAAAGCAACTATGTTCGAGAGCACGCACTGCCATTGATCTTAACTTTCTTCCACCTAAAAAATTCTAAAATATCACTGAAATACGTATAAATAAATCTTGTGAATTTGACCGCGAAAGGTCTTGTAGTTTATTCAGAAAAAATTCCCCAAAACTACCTGGAAAAACGCGTGATACGAAAACATTGAATGAAATATCGATTGAATTACAATTTGACGCGTTCAGTTTTGGTGTTTAGCGTGATCGTTTGGTTTCTATAACGATTTTAGAAACTCCTGGGCACTGTAGTGATACATTTTGTCGAATTAGGCAGGAGCTACGTGATCGGATGGGGACGAAATCCGCCGAAACAGCCTCACCACGCGGCGTCCTCTTGCCCCGACAGGCCAGCAGCCTGTGGATGGCCCGAATTCGACAAAGACGCGCCAAACCCCCAAATTCTATACGGCGCTCTGGTCTCCGGGCCCGACGAGGCCGACGAGTTCCACGATCATCGTGAAGATTACGTGTACACCGAAGTCACGCTGGACTATAACGCCGGTTTCACGAGCGCGCTCGCCGGACTATTGCAATTACGGGTCAAAAGCACGACATAACTCGTGACGAGCGTCTTGCAACAGTTACAACCGCGGATCGACGGATCCTTTTGTTCCCCGTCCACGAGTGCACGTGGGAGATGGCGAAATTCGAATATTATCCTCGCTATTCCGATCGAAGAATTTCTTCTTTTACCAGCGGATAGGGCGCGAGCGATACGCGTCGATTTCTATTGAAAATTCGTGATTTCGAGTGTGAAAGCGACGGAAACTCGACGTTGATAAGCTTCAAGCAGCGATCAGATTAATAGTCGACGGAGAACTGTAAACTCGATGAAATGTTTCTTCGAAATTACGATATCGATGATTATGATAGTGTCAATGTTTTGAGCTCTACATAATTGTAACAGATTGGGGTTTTATTTTAATTATAAACGATGAGATATTATTTAGCAATTAATGCAATCCTTGCATAAGGGCTGTAATTGAAGGGAATACGAAACTTTATATATTTATTCGTCGCGAGTATAGACCGAGGCGAAGAAGATGATGGAGGCATTATTTAACAGATCAGGTGTAATATATAATAGTTTTAGAGACTTCGCGAAAATTGTGTTTGTAAAATTTATCTAACGATCTTATATTTTCATTTGAATGACTATAAGAAACCTACGTTCTTCGTTTTTCCACGTCTATCCCCAAAGTTATTCTAATATCCGACGAACATGCGACGAGCTTATTACGATGTACACAAATGTTGCTTCGAGGCGGAAAGTAACGTGAAGATAGAGCAAACAATTGTTCCTGTCGCGTGCGAGATAAGCTTTCGAGTTGTCTTATTGTTTGACCCCGTATTATTTATATGCTTACGTATCCATTAGAACGATGTAACGTTTTATACGCGAGGACTAATTCTCCGATATTTTTGCAAATAAATGAACAGATATTTTCCATACACTTCCGGTATCAATTCGATAAATTTTCTTGCTTGTTTCTTATGTCCTGTTTACTAACAATATAATTTGAATTTTAGATATACCATTCGAGCAGCGAGGGAGAAAATTTTAGGTGATTCGATATTTAAAAATATATGATTAATTGTGTATCGATAGTTTACATTTTCGTTCAGCGAAGAAGGTATTGTTTGGAGAAAATTATTTTCATGAAAATGATCACAGACATAGAAAACTGTCGCGATAGTAGACGCGTTGAAAGAATCGAGCTTAGCTGGCGCTTGCGTTTGACTTTGTTACGACGTCTCTGGTTACGCCGTTTATATCGGAACACGATTTGCCGGGAGCAATTACGTCAACAGAATTGCCTCAGGTGCGGTCGTGATCGAGCATCGTCTGATATCACGTTCCGCGATTGTTCCTATCGCCATGGAACGGAAACTCGTCGACATTAAACATTTTACGTTTTTCGTTCTGTTCTTATTGATTACGAGGGTACGTCTGCAAGATTTCGACGGCAAAGGTGAGTAGAACCTCGATGTCGTTTCTTGGTTATTCGATCGATGGGAAAATAAAAAAAGAAACAACTAGTAACCCTTAAGAAAAATAAAATAAATTTAAAAATTGGACAAGTTACCGGCATTAGTTTCAGGATATTTGTAATCGAATACTTGGTATCGTCGCTGGTGATCAAAGCAATAAACGTTTTCATAATTTATTAAAAAATGAAAGAAGTCGTTCTTTAAAACTCGAGTTGTGATTGAAGAATATACAGGGAAACATTTTAATGGGAGATTCTGGAGGCCAAAATAAGATGAAAATCAAGAATATTAATTTCTTGCATGAGGCTTCGTTAAAAAGTTATTAACAATTATATTTAAAAATTTTAAAATTAAAAAATCGTTCTGGAAAAATTATTTTCGGTTGAGAGGGTTTATTACGATCATTTTTGGTCATTAGACATACCCCCGAAATCCTACCCACTTTCGAGAAAAAAATTCGAGAAGGTGTGAAATTTTTCGACGGAAAAAAAGATTCCAAATCGTTTTGGAAAAATTATTTTTGTATGCAAGAGGCAATTACAATCATTTTCGGTGAATAGACATACCTTCGAAATCCAACGCAGTTTCGAGAAAAAAATTCGGGAATGTGGACAAATTTTCGGCAAAATTAAAAAATTTCAAATCGTTCTGAAAAAATTATTTTCGATTGCAGGGGTCAATTACAATTATTTTGGGTCATTAAACATACCCTCGAAATCCTACCCACTTTCGAGAAAAAAATTCAAGAAGGTGGACAAAATTAAAAAGTTTCAAATCATTCTGAAAAAATTATATTCCATTGTGGAGATCAATTACGATCATTTTTGGTCATTAGACATACCCTCAAAATCCTACCCATTTTCGAGAAAAAAATTCGAGAAAATGTGAAATTTTCCGACGGAAAAAAAAATTCCAAATCATTCTGAAAAAATTATGTTCGATTGAGGGGATCAATTGCGATCATTTTCGGTGAATAGACATACCCCCGAAATCTTGCGCATTTTCGAGAAAAAAATTCAGTACTAATGAAACTTCAAATGTTAATAACTTTTTAACGAAGCCTCCATCAACAAATTGATATTCTTGATTTTCGTCTTATTTTGGCCTCCAGAATCCCCCATCAAAATTTTTCCCAGATTTGGCCGAACATCCTGTATATTCAAAATGGAGGACGCGTATTAAAAGAAACATACAAAATTAAAATATATCGAAAGCCAAGGAAAGAAATGCATTTCAAAATAGTCCCCAATTATCTCTCTGACTTTGTTTCGAAGCGTAGATGCCAAGATTAACGAGTAATTAAGATATAATAAAAATATAACCGGTTGGCCAAAAGGGAACTGAACAAATGGCTGGTTAATTATTTTTTTTAACGTAACTGCGCGTATCCCTCGAAAGAGGACATTCTCATAAGGAACGTCGGTTAAATGTATTGTTTTATACCGAACAATAGGTAACATTGGTAATAACAACCACAGGGCGTGTGCATATTTGCAATGCGAAAACGACGACGCCTGCGTGCACCGGAAATTTCGATGCAAGGATCCTCCGTGTCCCAGTATGCTTTATTGCGCGAAATCCCGAACAGGTAAATAGCTTAAAGAACGTACATAGAATTACATCGGCTTCCGTTGCTGTAATTAAACTGCACCGCGGCCAAAAGCACAAGAACGTCGCGGTTAAACTGAAAATTAAATCGCGATTATCGAAGAAGAATTTTCGTTTTAATTCCGGGGATCTATACTTTGCACTCAGAGCTTGGTAATATTCGTGGAAATACTATTTCGTTTACTACTTCAAATAACAGACACTTTAAAATTAAAATAAAATAGTATTTCATACGTGAAGTGAAATTTCAGTAAATGGAATAATTTTATTTTTGGTAATTGCGTGAAAAAACTATTGCGTGAAATAAATATTTTATTTTGAAAATTTTAAGTATAAAATAATTTCTCTGTGAATTTTAAGTAATTATTGTATTTCGACATACACAGATGGAGAATATTATTGCTTGCGATCGATTTATTTGAATATTATTGAATTATGATTCCTTGCGATCGAAGAGTATCTTTCTCCATCGAAAGTATGTTTGAAATTCAGAGGAAAAAGTACTTCGTTTTAGATTACCAAAATAAATGGATTTTACACTTTGAGTTAGCAGAATAAAATCATTTTATTTTCTAAAATAATGAATTTTTTGTGCAACGAATGGAATATTCTATTTTCAAAAATACATGCAGGATCTAAAATAAATTATAAAATAGTATTTTACTAAAATACACTAAACTCCAGATTATCCGGCACAAAGGAAAATCGAATTTCCCGGGTAATTTAAATCTCCTTAAAATTACCACGACATGAAAAGTTCATCTCTCCGAAAATACGAAGAAATAAGATTCTGATTTTGAAGAGTACAAGTCCTTGAAAATGGAGTAGTGAATTTTCTACTTTGCTTCGTCTTTTTGAATTCATACACCATCGCTCGTAAACTTTTCATTCGGAGAGAAGAATTTTCACAATCTTCTGGAAGAAGTTTCACAGTTTCCTTTGCGTTTCTGATTTAATCTGGGGCCTGCTTATTTAAGTGCTTCTCACAGTACTATAGAAACATGCTTGCAAAATTATTTCTCACTTTGGTTTATCCGTACATATACGTTCCTCATATCGAAGAACAAAAAAGAAAAAATAAACAGCATGTTTGGAAAAGTGTTATGTTTAGACTTCTGAGAGCAATATTTTTTTCTAAATTGTCAAATGGCTGAAACGATAAGGTACTCGAAGTTCCATACGTTTTCTGGGACCACTTGAAGAACGTTCTATTCGCCTCTGATAGGTTTCTACGCGTGTCTATTGAGCAATGATAAAATGACTGACGATGTAGAAATTGCATGATTTAAGAGTCGTTGAGAGGACCTTCCACGTGCGACAGTGTACGCTGCAGCCGTGGATATGTGTGCATGCTGAAGGTTCGACGGTGTCGTTGGGACGAGAGTAAGTATTACGCGTTAAAAAGTCATTTGAATTCTTGGATCATTCCACGTATAAACGATACGAAGTAAAATTATCGAATATTCCCGTTGCATTTAAATAAAAATAATAGACGACGCTTTGGTTCTTCTTTATTGGGAAGATTGAGAAGATAATTAAATCACTTGGAACTCTAACAATATTTTACAAAGCAAACAAAATTTCAAATACAGATTAAATCAGATCAACTCTCAAGTGGACTTTCAATCTTGACTCATTTTACTTAATGTTGATTTGTATCAAATTGGTAAATAAAAATCAACTTTCCTTAAACCCTTTGCACTCCAAATTGTATTTCAATTTTGTTACCGGCAGCTCCCAACGCTTTCAAGTTTTTTATTTGAAATTTACGTTAACCAAAAAATAAAGCAATTTAAACAAATAGAGGAACAAACAAATTCGATTAAATATCTGCTCAATTTACACTGATGTTGTATTTTGTAATTTTCAAGCGTATGATTAAAAAGAAAAGATTGATTTCTCTTCTTCCTTCAAATATTTCTCTGTTTGAGCAAACTGCGCAAACCTTATGCTTTCTTCCGGAATGTACGAAAATGAAATTGAATTCTATTGGTTTGAACTTGAAAAAATGTCGAGCGGGACTTGACAAAGGAGCACCTGACAATAAGAACTGATGTCGAGTCACGCTCCACACATGAGTGCAAAGGGTTAAGCACTTGAAAAATAATGAACTAATGGAGGATTCAATTTTCAAATAATTACATTGATATGTATTATACTATAGACTTCTGGAGGGGCCTAAAAATCCACTTAACAATTAAACAGCTTCTGATTTACCAGAATGCAAGCAACAGATAGCAAGATGCGTGCCCCGGAAGGAGTACCACGAGGGTCCAGCGTCCTGTGCCGGCTTCGAGTGTCCCCAAGGGAGCCACTGCATTCTTCGAGAGTCGTTTTGCGCTACTCCACCCTGCAAACTGCTCAGAAGCTGCGCCAAGAACAAAGGTTGATCGTAACACTCGCTCCGTTACTGACCAAAGTAGCTTCCCATCATCGCCAGTAAATAAAAGAACAAAAATTGATACCGTTTTGCAGAAGTGCACGTCTGGTTTGGCACATGTCGACGCTTGACCTGCCAGTCGGAATTCGAGTGCTTCTTACGGAGACCGGAGAACGACTGCTCGAAGTTAAACACGTCCTGCAGACACGTGCCGGACTGTGTATCGACAGGTAAAGCTCAGAAACAATTGCAAACGCTTCAACAATACACAGAATGTTCGACCAACTGGGGGAGAAAATTTTCATGGAAGATTCTGGAGGCCAAAATGAGACGAAAATCAAGAATATCAATTTCTCGACTGAGGCTTCGTTAAAAAATTATAGTTAGTTACAGGGATCAATTACAAGCATTTTTGGTGAATAGACATACCCTTGAAATCTTACCCACTTTTGAGAAAAAAATTCGAGAAGGAACTGAAATTGTTAGACGAAATTAAAAAATTTCAAATCATACTAAAAAAATTATATTTAGTTACAGGGATCAATTACAAGCATTTTTGGTGAATAGACATACCCCTGAAATCTTACCCAATTTTGAGAAAAAAATTCGAGAAGGAACTGAAATTGTTAGACGAAATTAAAAAATTTCAAATGATACTAAAAAAATTATATTTAGTTACAGGGATCAATTACAAGTATTTTTGGTGAATAGATATACCCCTGAAATCTTACCCACTTTCGAGAAAAAAATTCGAGAAGGTACTGAAATTTTTCGACAAAATTAAAAAATTCCAAATCATACTAAAAAAATTATATTTAGTTACAGGGATCAATTACAAGTATTTTTGGTGAATAGATATACCCCAGAAATCTTACCCATTTTCGAGAAAAAAATTCGAGAAGGTGTGAAATTTGTCGACAAAATTACAAAATTTCAAATCGTTCTGAAAAAATTATTTTCGATTGCGGGGGTCAATTACAATCATTTTTTGTGAATAGACATACCTCCGAAATTTTGCGCATTTTCGAGAAAAAAATTCAGTACTGGTGAAACTTCAAACGTTAATAACTTTTTAACGAAGCTTCAATCAACAAATTGGTATTCTTGATTTTCGTTTAATTTTGACCTCTAGAAACTCCCATTAAAATTTTTCCCTCGAACACCCTGCATATTGAGCCTTAATTTAAACCAACTATCGACAAACGATGAAAGGAAAAATCGCAGAAATCGCAAAAATCGCAGAGCTCGAGATCGACTGGTGCAAATAACTGACGTGAACGCACTGGTTGTCATATCACGATCAAATTTAGCGTAACGACTGAATACAATGTTGCCCACTTACACACAAAAATTTGTTGCAATACATGCACTGTGGGGTTTGAAAATGAGGGATTGGTCGAGCGCTTGTGAGAACGCGAGCCCTCTGGCGGCGAGCACGGGAGTCAACGCCACGTGATTGCAATTTTTAACGTTTCCAATTAAGAATCGTGTGCTTTCGCAGAAGACGAGACAACGAACGAGCACTGTCGCGGTTGGATATGCCCACGAATGCAGAAATGTTCGGTAAAATTGATGGAACCCTGCGATACGAACGACTGTAAAATTCGGAGAACTTGCGACATGGAATTGCAAAATTATTCTTCGCCATTTTCAAAGATATCCCTGAACGATGGGGACCAACGTACAGTGCTTCCTGAAATAGACTCCAAGGTATATTCGTATTACACGAATCTCACCATCTTTCCTTGTCAGAAAGGTTTCGATAAACGGAAGTTCGAAGACAATCGGAATCGAGTGAAATTGATTCACAATATCTAACTTGCTTAACCCCTTAACGCTCATATTTTGCGGATTGACCAAGAATGATCAGTTTTCTTTATTGGACTTGTTTCTAAGCCACATAAAAATTCGATTTTTGTTAATTACAATGTCGTATCTAGCGTATAATTTGAAGGAAAAGAAATATTGTCATCCCTTAAACCATCAAATTAAAAAAATATCGTTTTTCAAAACAGTCAGACTCGGGCATGAGCGTTAAGGGGTTAATCTAACTTTGCTAACTTGCAAGCTCAGAGATTTCGAATGCAATTTAATTGATATAAATTACGTTTACACAAAGTTAAATATTCCATTTGTTATTTTTTTTGTATCTATGGTGATTTATAAGGTTATTAAATTATGTTTGTTACAGAAAATATAATGAAATAGCCTGATATTTTTATTTTACAGGCACCTTGGGACACGAGTCAAGGAAATATTAACGAAACAACGAAGTGAGTACCGCGATTCGATATGGTTCACGGTTATTCGCGTCATGAATTCTGTCGCGAAGATTCTTCCGCAGATAGTTCTCGGATGAAAAATTCCCTTCGACGTTCCGTAAATTGGAAAAAGTGAAGTTGCTATCGGCGGGGAAACGAATACGTCGAGTATATTCATGTTCTGCAGAGATCGCTACGATGTTCTTTAAATTTCGTGGTAGAGCGAGACGGAAGGAAGTTTTGCATTTTGAAAGAAATTTTGAACTTTCATTCGCATTGAAATACATTGACTTATAAAGGAATCTTGAGAACCCGAAAATTGAAAAAATTATTAAACTATTTTAATACGTCACGATAATAGACGGTTTATTTGTTTATAAAAAGATGTACAAAATAAATTGTTTACACGAATGGGATAGGTGAAACCGAAATGTATTTTTCCATAGAGTTAGAAAATGAATTTTATGGGATAAAAAAGTATCGATTTTTCGATTTAAATTCGATGTTTTGTCCAAACTGGTTTCAGACGGGAGAATAAAATTCTGAATTCTCAAAGTTTCATCGTTTTCACGGTTTCGATTAAATTTCGATGAAATTCAAGCCGCCATTTGAAAAGTCTTAAACGACGTCATTAGTAAATCCGTGCATGTTTTAAAGCTTAACCAAACTAGCATCAATTAACGTAATGATGTCTGTTTGAACGCCGAGTGCCACGCAGAATGCCTGATCCGTGGTTGAATCACCTAAATTCGAAGACCGAATTGGACGCCATTGAGCTCTGGATACAAAACGCCCAGGGACAAAGGGATTTCAAGGTATAGGAACGAGCATTCAAAATATTCTATCTTTCACCAAATGGTACTAAGTTGGATCAACAAAATATTTAATAGAACTTTAAATCATAGATTGTTACTTAACAATTTAATCCTCTACACCAAACAGAAGAAATTAAATTCTTGATAAAAAGTATTTTACAAAGTCGGAGTGTCTTCATTGTCTGGTACTGTGGTTATAGAAATCAGGGAATCCCCGATAAGCGTGTCTCGCGAGGCCGACATTTTCCATTAAAAGCTTTTTCGTGACCTGTTACTTTCAGCAATTTCAAGATTGGCTTCGTTCCATCAAGGATGGTCTCGGTTCTAGCGCGTACTCCGCATGGATCGAGGAAATCCTGGCTTCGACGTCGCTGGGCGAAGAACTTCGAAAATGGCTGCGTGCATCGGTCGATCCTCGATCCCTCCACATCGGTAATATCGACAGAGAACGCGAGAAACCGATAAATCCAGGACTCGAACGACCACAGAACGATGTAACGCGCAGTCGAACGGAAAATCGATTCCCCGTTTACGATAAGTTGGTAAGATGGATGCAATCTTTACCGAATATTTCTTTTTTTATTGTAAAAACATCGAAGATTGTATTTACAATCAATCTGCACACAGCAGATTGTAAACAAATATCCTGTAAATACAGACTTTTTAATAAGGGAGAGGTCCAGTATTTGGTGTGACGATTTTCTGGTGGTCCAATTTTTTGCAAACATTTCAAAGCTAACAAAGAACATCGCCGATTTTAAAGAAATTTCCGTAAAATATTGTTCTTAGAAATATATTTCACAGGTTATGATATATATCTAGGGGGTGAAATCAGCCCCCCAAAGTTGAGGATGAAAAACATATTTCTCTCGATATCCTGAAAATAATCTGACCTAGAAAAAATATCGTTTGACACGTTCCGTGCCACGTGTACCACCGGTGGTGCACGTTAAACTTGATCTTCAAGCCACGTGCACCACTGGTGGTACACGTTTAACTTCATCTTCAAGCCACGTGCACCACCGGTGGTACACGTTGAACTTGATCTTCAAGCCACATGTACCACCGGTGGTACACTCAGAGATATTTATTTAATGCGCTGAAAATATACGTTTATGACAAATTTAATTCTGTAAAAAAATATTTTTACTAAAAGATTGAGGCATTTTACAAAATGCAGTGTAGAACAAAGTACGTAAGTTTGTTTAATTGTTATATTTACGATAATTAAAAACGGCTTTTTCGTTCTGGAGAAACCTGTCTATAAGGAGGAAATGCTACCTCGCCAATTACCAACGATCACGAATACCAATGGTCGATCGTATTATATGGTTCCTGTGGAAAACGTGGAGGAGTCAGGCAACTCTCAGCCCATCGATCACGACTTTGATCGTGGAATAATTTCTGACGACAACGAAGCATCGAAGGGGCAGAAAAGTAATTTCTTTCTCGTAAGTATTTTCATTTTTAAGCTTTTGCAAGGGAGACGTTCGAAACATTTATTTTGATCGTGAAATAATTTTTAACGAGAATATTCTACCAAATACAATAAAATTGCTTTCATCGAAGGAAATTCGAATTCTAAGAACTGGTTTGCTAAGATTGTTCCAGAGACGTTCGCGAACCTGTCGTTCGATAAAGACGAATCACCGTCACTGTGGATCGGAATGGACGAAACTTTGAATGGAAAATCTCTTCAAAATGAAAGACAATTCGTCGAGTATGGTGTCACTGAAAATAAAACATCGTCGGATGTGACGCGGTATTCCAACGACGTTCCCGAGGATTTTATAGAGAAGTTGATTAAAAATTTGCCATTTTCTTCGTTGGAGAACATTAAAAAGGCACTGGACGACAAATTTGCTCAGCAAAATCATCAACACGTAAGTTCTGTAAATTATGAAATCCTTGGCAACGAAATACGAATATAAATAATAGAAATTGGTTTCATCGTTCGAGACCACATATTTCCACAAATTACAATCGCAGAAAAAATTATAATCGACTCGATATGCAAGCTCAAAGCCAAACTGTTAGTTTTTTTGCTCGAAGATAAAAATCAACTTTCTGCATTTCAGAATTCGAACGAAAACTACGATTCGAGCACCGCGACTGACACACGCGACTACGAAGATCTATTCACGATCAAGAACTCCACAGACACATTAGACAACGTTTCCTCTTATACGATAAACGTCACAAATAATTTCGAACCAAAAATCATCGACACCGATAAATCAGGTAAGGTCTCTTCATCGTCACAGTTTCTTAGAATTCCATAAATCGAAACGGTTACGAAATAAAATATATTTGGTAAAACTGTTAAACGAACAGAGAACTTTCGTTTCGTCGGAATAAAAATTCGAGTTAAACAGAAACTTCTGTTTTGCTTCGAAAAAAAAAGTGGAAGTTATGCCAGCTTGACGGGGCAGGTTTTCTCGTTAATGGGACCGTAGATCGAATTGGTATTACAAATACCGTAAAAACTAGTATTCTTGCAGTATTAAGCTGTCAGCCAAAAGAAATTCGTGCACTGCTTGTATCGGAACGATTTCGTCTGTGTTTGTGGCGGTAAAAAAATAGCATACTATTAAAATACCGGTATTATTGCTAACTCGAGACAAAGAAGTCAGGAATAAGATTCGAGGCTCGATGACTCGGCTTGTTTTTATTAAATATATCACTCCTGCTCATGGTTTGGTAAATTTGTCTGTCGACGTTGGCGAAACGAAAGAATTGTACAAAAAATTACAACTTGCAATTCTTTCGATAATTCTGAGAAATAGAAAAAGGTAGTTTAAACTTTTATTGTTTGCTTTAAGATGTCTGTAGAAGGATAAAGGATATTCTTCGAAACTTTTTTAACAAATAATAAAGTTAAACTTTATCAAATATTAAGGAATACAAAGGAAATATTAAGTACCACGTGGTTAATCTTAAAACTGCTTTATTTCGGGCTACGACACGAGAAAGGACCAAACCGCGTGTTCCTAGGGACTGCTCGCAGCGCCCTCACCTCGATCTACCGAACTACGCTAGCTTCCGCTATTACGCTAGTCATACACTATATTAGAACAATTATATTTAACTGGTACATAATATATTGTGCATTTAACGCGATAACTAATTCTATACATATACATCGAAGAAGAGAAAGATATGAAAAAAGAATACACGTTGGCGCCTCATGGCCAGGAAAAATAAAAGCCTGCGCAAGAACGGGGAAACCCCAATCGCCGTCACTACCATCGGCTACAGGCCGGCCAACAATGCCAACAAACTTTTTATTTAAAGAATTAACAAGATGAAAGTTCACAAATAATTTGTACGGGTAAAAATGAACTGTTTCATTAGCGTTAACGTTTTCGTTAAACTTGAGGAAGAGAAATGTGTACGTTGGTAATCATTCAACGACGCTAATGGAACCAAATGATAAACAGTTGCGAAGATATAAACCTTACATGCAAATTATATTTATTTTTCAAACGTATCGATGTTTCTTCACGTGAAACTATGGCGTTTGCGTTCTTCTATTGCATACCGTGTGTCTCAGATTTGTCGGTTTTTTTTATACGCGAACCGTTACTTGCCGCGGGCCATCGATCGTGGAATCTAACGTCATTAGTTTAACGAATTAGATTCAGACGTGTCCGTTGATCGTTCGCGATAGAAAAATATAGAAAAAGTTACGGGCAGTTCTGCATGACCCCCAGGACTCGACACGCCCGGTTTGGACAAGGAATTATTTTAATTAGCGTCGCATGTGAGACTGTTACATATACTGTCTGGTGTTCGTTAATTCTTGTTCGACATTCAGACAGACATAATCGATTCGGTGTTTTTAGAAAGTCGCGTTTGGTGACGCAATCGTGAGATCCATTTTTTCAATACATATCTACGGTTCTATTTTATGGTCATAAAAGTAATAAAAAAAAAAAATGATATCCGAAACAAATGATTTTATTTTAGTCGATTTTGTAGTCGATGTCACATTTTTACTATTATTAGAGGTGATGCAGGATACTTTTAGAAAATCTCCAAGTGTAATAAAATGCATTTACTGTTAAAAATTTGTAAATTCAGTAAAGAACAGTAAAAATTCAACAATTGTTTCAGTACTATTTATTACATTTTAGATGACTATTTTATCAGAATACTGAAGAGATTTTCTATTATTCAGAGTTTTGTTTAGTATCATCATGACAATGTTAAATAACAATATCGTCAGCAGTGAAACTGTTACGTAATATTTTCTAAATAATTAAGTATTCACGTTTGAATAGATAATACCGATAGCCTTGCTCACTTTATGGTTGCAGTTCAAAGGATCATCTACCATTTACTCATTACTTTTATGACCAACGAGGAAAACAATGTTCACTGTTCCAGGAAAACATAAATTTCAGTATGCAAAGCTGGAACTATAAAATTGATCGTGACTTGCGTAAAATAGCTTTAACATTTCTGTTATTTTTATCCTGCATTACTATGATGATCGTTCAATTCTTGAACTTATAACATTAATATAATTACCACACGTTTTACATTTGTAATTTTCATGTCAGACATTTCAGCCTTTATTAAAGGAAGGAGAAAAAAAAATGTTAACATATGTTGACTTTGGTGGGACAAAATTATAAGACAGTAATACGAAATTATACAGGGTGTTCCCTTGTTAAAAAAATTTTTCTCTGCGGAAAAGTTTTACGTAAGTGTATTTTATTCTCGAAAGTGTGTAAGATTTCGGGGGTAGGTCTATTCACCAAAAATGATTGTAATCGACCCCCGTAAACGAAAATAATTTTTTCGAAACGATTTGAAATTTCTTTTTTTCGTCGAAAAATTTCACTCCTTCTCGAATTTTTTTCTCAAAAGTGGGTAGGATTTCGAGGATATGTGTAATGACCAAAAATGATTGTAATTGACCCCTGCAATCGAAAATAATTTTTTCAAAACGATTTGAAATTTGTTTTTTTCGTCGAAAAATTTCACACCTTCTCGAATTTTTTTCTCAAAAGTGGGTAGGATTCCGGAGGTATGTGTAATGACCAAAAATGATTGTAATTGACCCCCGCAAACGAAAATAATTTTTTCAAAACGATTTGAAATTTCTTTTTTCCGTCGAAAAATTTCACACCTTCTCGAATTTTTTTCTCAAAAGAGGGTAGGATTCCGGAGGTATGTGTAATGACCAAAAATGATTGTAATTGACCCCCGCAAACGATAATAATTTTTTCAAAACGATTTGAAATTTCTTTTTTCCGTCGAAAAATTTCACACCTTCTCGAATTTTTTTCTCAAAAGTGGGTAGGATTCCGGAGGTATGTGTAATGACCAAAAATGATTGTAATTGACCCCCGCAAACGAAAATAATTTTTTCAAAACGATTTGAAATTTCTTTTTTCCGTCGAAAAATTTCACACCTTCTCGAATTTTTTTCTCAAAAGTGGGTAGGATTCCGGAGGTATGTGTAATGACCAAAAATGATTGTAATTGACCCCCGCAAACGATAATAATTTTTTCAAAACGATTTGAAATTTCTTTTTTCCGTCGAAAAATTTCACACCTTCTCGAATTTTTTTCTCAAAAGTGGGTAGGATTTCGAGGATATGTGTAATGACCAAAAATGATTGTAAATGACCCCTGCAACCGAAAATAATTTTTTTAGAAAGATTTGAAAATTTTATTTCCGTCGAAAAATTTCACACCTTCTCGAATTTTTTTCTAGAAAATGGGTAAGATTTCGGGGATATGTCTATTAACCAAAAATGATTGTAATTGACCCAAGTAACTAAATATAATTTTTTTAGTATGATTTGGAATTTTGGAATTTCGTCTAAAAATTTCAGTATCTACTCGAATTTTTTTCTCGAAAGTGGGTAGGATTTCGGAAGTATGTCTATTCACCAAAAATGCTTGTAATTGACCCCAGTAACTAAATATAATTTTTTTAGTATGATTTGAAACTGTTTAATTCCGTCTAAAAATTTCAGTATCTACTCGAATTTTTTTCTTGGTTGTGGGTAGGATTTCGGGGGTATGTCTATTCACCAAAAATGCTTGTAATTGACCCCAGTAACTGAATATAATTTTTCCAGAACAATTTGAAGTTTTTGAATTTAGTTGTTAATAACTTTTTAAATATATATAAAATATATGACCTAATCTCACACTAATATTTTTCAGACGAAGACGACGATACAGTGGACTTGAATCTTTTCTTCGAACTGAACAAGGAGATCCTTTTAGCAGACATACAAAGATTAATGGAAGCTATGGATCAAGACGAGGATCCTTCGAACGATTCTGAACCGAATACGGATGAAAGTTTGATAAAACACGCATTCATGAAGGCTCACGAGCTTCAAGGAGTTGAAAATACCCCTCACGAGTCAAAAACTTCGACGATAGAATCGAAGAATATTTCCTCTAATGATGATAGCCCCTATAACACGGATCGAAATCGAAACAAACAAATTTCATCTATTATAGATCCTCAACAGGTACGTATTTCGTAATTCCATTAGTTAAAGGTCCCGAGAAAACGAATGCGATCCATCGAATTTACCGTAATCATCATTACTATAAATTCTCTTGGAATGGAACAGTGATTTGCGTTTAAAAATAAATATTTTTAGCCTTTCGAGGCAATTATTTGCTTTGCTTCTTAAACGATCGTAACTTTTTGTAAAATTGTTCGTACACGCGTTTAATAGAAATTGTTAAGAAGAATATAATAGAATTTTTTCGTCGATCAAAAGGTACGATCGAAGGGGAATTGTTTCGTGGGAATCGTGAATTATTATTGCAACGTTTCAATGTTTCGCGTTGAACCCGTGAGATAAACCGGTTCTTTTAAATTTCACCATCAGGAAAAGGATCCAGGGACGCACGGATTGATTTACGGAGACAAGGACGCTAAATCTGAGACCTTTTATGATATACCCAGTTACGGTCTTGGCGACGATGTCGAAGATTACGTGAACGAAGACGATGGAATAAGTCGCGTTGAAGGGAATGAGAAACAAAGTCGCGACGATTGGGGATCCACGATCGATCGTTAACAGGGTCTCGTTTGAAAATTAAAAGGTCCTTTCAAGACGAAAAGTTGGAAAAAAATTTTAATCTCGACCAATATTAATACATAGATTAGTAAATTTTCACCTCGACGAGGTGCATTTTAAATTTAAATTTAATTTTATTAATTATGCTTAAAGAATTGATTTTTCAATTTTTTGTGATGCTTTGATCATCGAAACGACAATTTACAATCTCGATTAAAAAATAGTTTGATAAAACGAAAATAAATTTCGATAAACGTGAGAATATTTCGTACGAATATTACCGTGTTCTAATTGTTGACAAGTCATTTTTCGTAATTTCAATTCCAAATATACGATGAACCGCCGTCAAACGGTAATAAATGGTACCGATTTCACCGAAAGTGTAAACCAAAATGGAGCACGAAAGAAACCGTAAGAAAGTTTACATAACACGGGGAATATATTTCCATGCCGTCATTAATTCTCTGTCATTAAGTTTCCCATGTTACACATCCGCCACCGCGGGAATTACTTTCTTTCGGATCGCTGTCATTAAATTTCGACGAAAACGCGACGCGAACACGCTCGAGCAAACGAGAATATACACTATTTACAGAACAATATCGGCGATGCATTATCGTTCCTTAATTATTAACGAACATCTCGATTGAACAGAATTTATAATATTCTGAAATAATTAATGTCTTCTATTAAATTCGAATTATTATTAGCCTCGTTTCCGAGTAATTACCGATTGTTTCGAACGGTTTGTTTAAAATCTGTTTCATGAAATACCCAAATCGAAAAATTCCTAAATATACACGAAACAAAGATGTGCAAACGATCGTATTATTCGTTCGTAACGTTTAAATTTTTCTTCCTTCGTCGAGAAATATTTCACTTGCAATTTTTGGTTCGAGGAGCGAGGAACAAAAAGATTGTTTACTTTGAATTCCTCGTTCGAAACAATTTTGCGCGTTTTTATATTCGAAACGAGATCGATGGAGCACGAAATATTTTTTCTATTTTTTTCCGCTTATTGTACGTGTACTAGGTAATGGTATCGGTTACCAAGAAATACTCTGAGATGGTACCAGCTCGCTGGAGTCATTTCCATAAGCAGGTATGTGGCAGAATGGAAGGCAAGAAAGTGGTGGAGGTTGTCGAATATTACAACCGCGATGGGGAATGGTACCAGTTTAGTCTGCTGTTGATCGCGGTGCCGTATACCACGGTCCTGTTCCTCTCGAGCGTGCGGTGAACAGAAACACGCCGTGGATCCTCGGTGTCGCAAGTGCGATATTCACTCGATAGGATAAGGACAACGACCTTCCAAAGGTAAGCTAGCCGGACGTACGAACAAAGAATCAACGCTGCAGAAATAATTTCTAGCAAACCATATTTCACACTTTCACAATTCAATTGCATTGCAAGTGACAAAATACGGGTGAGTCTATTCTGACCCCTGGAAAACGCAACAGTCACGAGGTCAAATTTGAGATGACGTTTGCAAATTTCTAGCAACCTTACTATATTTAAAAGTTTCCACAATTTAATTCCATCTTAATTGACAAAATACGAGTTTGTCTTTTCTGACCCGCGGTCAAATATGAAACGCCATTTGCAAATGTTCGAACAAAGAATCAACGCTGCAGAAATAATTTCTAGCAACCATACTATACTTAAAAGCTTCCACAATTTAATTCCATCGCAATTGACAAAATACGAGTTTGTTTTTTCTGACCCCTGGAAACCAAGACGGTCACGCGGTCAAATTTGAAACGCCGTTTGCAAATGTTCGAACAAAGAAATAATTTCTAGCAACCATACTATATTTGAAAGCTTCCAGAATTTAATTGCATCGCAATCAACGGAATAGGAGTGAGTTTTTCCTGACCCCTGGAAACACGCGGTCAAATTTGAAACGGCGTTTGAACGAAACATTTTGCCCCGGGAAATTTCGATGATCCTCGAAACGGAATATCTCGATACGAAATTTGAAAATTGAAATTTTAGAAGTTGACGCCGAAAGTGCCGTTAATTATGACTAGCGAGTTCCGTCCTTTCACGTCTTCTCGCCGAAACAATACCCACCTCCGCGGAAATTCCACAAAGTCGCATGAATTGTGTAACGACAACCGACGCGATAAGAACACCTGACACAAGCCGCGATGAGATAATACCATAAACTGGAGTGCATCTTCTGTCCATTGTAAGCTAATTACGTGCGCGTTATAACGAAGAATAAAAACTCGCCGCGAAATTGTTTAACGCGAGCCGTGATCTATCGAACGGTTTTGCGGAGTGGCTCAATTTTATTAGTCGTCTCACGTTCGTTTCCACGAGTCAAAGGTATTAATTAAACGAGGGAAGGGAGAGAGGAAAGCAAAAAAAAATAAATGTGAACTTTAAATCGAGCTTTTCTCAAACTTCCAAACCGTGAATATTGCACACTTCGTGCATAACATTATTTTCCAAAAGAAAGATTTTTATTATCGTTGCTACAAGTCTTATCTTTTTATACCTTTCTTTATATTTTCAAAAAATTCCTATCTGTTCTTGATACCTGATCACGTAACGCAAATAAACAATGTAGACTCGAACATATCTTTCACGTTTAATTGCATACACGTACCACTTTCTTTTTTTAATCTAGAACGCCTATAATTTTCTAGCAGAACTTATACTTTTACGCGATATATTATAAACCATAGTGTCTCGTTTGAACCACTTCTTTTTTACTAAATTGTTCGCCTTAAGTCTGTAACCACAGGTAAATAAAAGTGAAAAAAAGTAGATCAGAATGATTTAAATAAATATTCTTCTAATAGTTGAAACAAAAGGGTTTTTAGACTCAAAAAGAAGAACGAAGTAGATTATACAGCGTGCCAATTATCCAATCGTAAAATTGCAATTAAAATGCAAAAATCTTTTCCCTTGTTTGCAAATTCTGAGGAATAGTTGGCAATTCGTTGAAATCTAACATCTTGAGACTCGCTTACGTCGCCATGTAACTTCTAATAATGTAATCCTATGAATATATGCAGATCGTAACGCAGTAATGATACAGGTTCTAAACGCGCGACGTTCGAAATCGTACGATCTAGAATTTTTCTTACGAATAACAAATCGTTAACTTTCGCGTTACAAACCATTTCGGTACTGATGAGACTAATTGGACTTACTAAAAATTTTACGCGGATTATACGCGTTTATAATATGGAAAATCCATGCAAATCGCGTGCTGAATATATTCGACGAAATACTGTAACAATGTTAATATTTCATTTCGTACACGTTCATACATTTCCCGTACGCTTTGCATACGATTTCCATATTCGTACACGCCGTAAGTGCATTCAATCTGCTGTATGGTGCAACTGAAATTTTTGTTAAAACAACTTAATAACGTATTTATGGATATTAATTATTTAGCGAGTACAAAGCATCGATCGATCAATGGTCGAAACATCGATCGATTTCGAACGTTTTAACCCCTTGATGTACGATTTAATGTTAGTTTTCAAAGGTCTGCAAATGAGTGAAATTTTTCCAGAATGATTTGAAATTTTTTCTTTTTCGTTGAAAAATTTAACCACCTAATTAGATTTTCAGTAAGGAATTTTTTTCTCGAAAGTGGATAGAATTTCGGGGGCACGTGTAATGACTAAAAATGATTGTAATCGACCCCTGCAACTAAATATATTTTTTTTAGTATGATTCTAAATATTTTAATTTCGTCGAAAAATTTGTCCACGTTCCTGAATTTTTTTCTCGAAAGTGGGTAGGATTTCGAGGGAACGTGTAATGACTAAAAATTATTGTAATCGACCCCTGCAACTAAATATATTTTCTTTAGTATGATTCTAAATATTTTAATTTCGTCGAAAAATTTGTCCACGTTCCTGAATTTTTTTCTCGAAAGTGGGTAGGATTTCGGGGGTACGTGTATTCACCAAAAATGATTGTAATTGCCCTTCGCAACTGAAAATAATTTTTTTAGAACGATTTGAAATTTTTTAATTTTGTCAAAAAAGTCTATCTTTCTGAATTTTTTTTCTCGAAACTGAGTAGGATTTCGAGGGTATGTCTATTCATCAAAAATGATTGTAATTGACCCTTGCATTCAAAAATAATTTTTCCAGAATGATTTGAAATTTTTTAATTTCGTCGAAAAATTTTCCGGTCGGTATGAAACTTTAAACGTTAATAACTTTTTAACGAAGCCTCGATCAACAAATTGGTATTCTTGATTTTCGTCTTATTTTGATCTCCAGAATGTCCCATTAAATTTTTGTTTTCCTTCGAAAAATTTCACACCTTCTTGAATTTTTTTCTAAAAAGTGGGTAGGATTTCGGTGGTATGTCTATTCACCAAAAATGATTGTAATTGACCCCCTGAATCGAAAATAATTTTTTCAGAATGATTTGGAACTTTTCAATTTTACAGGGTAACAGACAATCATGATCAGACATTATATTTTCAGTAATGAATTTTTTTCTCGAAAATGGGTAGGATTTCGAGGGTATGCCCAATGACCAAAACTGATCGTAATTGATCCTCTCAATCGAAAATTATTTTTTCAGAATGATTTGAAATTTTTTAATTTTGCCGAAAATTTGTCCACCTTCTTGAATTTTTTTCTCGAAACTGCGTTGGATTTCGAAGGTATGTCTATTCACCAAAAATGATTGTCATTGACCCCCGCAACCGAAAATAATTTTTTCAGAACGATTTGAAATTTTGTAATTTTGTCGAAAAGTTTCACAGCTTCTCGAATTTTTTTCTCGAAAATGGGTAGGATTTCGGGGGTATATAAATTGTTAAAATATTGTTTTATCAAAAGGATATTTCTCCCTCGAACAGTCAGAAGGATCTCCATTTAATTTACTCATAACTCTTTCTGAAACAATCGAGGACAAAAAATGTTGCAAATGACTTCGTCGAAGAACGTTAATCATCAGAGCTCCCCTGTAAAATTAGAATTACACGTACTTAACGAGCCTCTAACGAACAAAGAAGTCGTCAAACCTGTCATCGTCTACGCGTTCCTACGAAACGTAAACCGAGTGGGAAAGTTCTCGATTCGCAGGTTGACAGCGTAACAACGCCAGTGCCATTGCAATTAACACGACCAGCGCTTTTTGACGTCTGTGCAGCGTCGAACCAGCGCTGGCAATTAACACAATACCCGCGTTATCTCGGTATCTTCCTACGAAAATTACGCTACCACCACCGACAATGAAAGTTCGCACTTTTTTCGAAACCAGAAAAAACCGACAGTTAAATGGACGACCTTAGTTCCGTCGAGCCATCAGGAGTTGCATTTCCAACGATATCTTTCTGTACCTAACACTTTGACGGCCGCTGTCACGTATATGTGACTTCGCTAGCAGACGTTGGCCACTGTCACGTATGCGTGATCTATCAGTCACCATTTCATCATACATTCAAGTTATTACGTTTGTTGAGGTTACATTTATAATTCCTTGCATCTTCGTGTATCTCACTTTGGTCCAAAATATCAGTGGTGATGGGCAATGGTCTTCGCGTGATACGTGCGGCCATTAAAGTGTTAAAAATGCAATTGATGATGTTTAATGGAACGCATGAAAGATAAAACAGTAACAATGGAGGTTTCACAAACGTCGAAATAGTTTTAACTAAATTTCGATCGAAAGTAACACGAAAAATTTGGAAAATTTGATGTTCGTTAAGAAGTCCAAGTTCGCCCATAAATGAGGAAAAAGATTTGAATCGAGAAATGAGAAATTGTTTTTGTTATGACTCATAGTGTATAATTGATGTTTAACTCTTTGGGGCACGCTTGGATTAAAAGTGTCCCACCTTTTGCATGATGGGACATTTTTAGTCCCTCGAAATATTGCAATAGCGTCCTATTTACGTAAAGCAATTGGTAATATCTTCAACAAATGTTATAAATGTATTTACTTGTGTTGGGAACATTCAACATGCCAATACAGGTTCATCCATACAGGTTACCCATTTTTGGTACCCTACGCAAAGTAATGTTACTATTCCCGCGTTATTTGTAAAATAACACCAAGTATTTAGAATAATTCGTTGTTTGAAATAGTTATTTGTTGTTTTCGAATCAAATAAAATGTGAAAATAACAAGGACCACGAAGAATCGAGTCCTATTTCCAAGGATCGAAATAAACAATAATTGGGGGAGGGGAAAACAAAGTTCCATCCTATGGAATTATTAACACTAGATTTACGAAAACCGTCAATTTGACGAATATCAAATTCCATATTTAAAATTACAGAACGCGTAAATATTACTTTTTAACAACTCACGTTGAATTTGTTTGA